TTAAGTAATTTAAGACTTCCCTGTCTAGGCTTCTTAGTTCATTAACAAAGACGAGTCTAATTAAATTAAACTAATATAAAATATTTAAAAGAATCAAAGGATTACTTTTAGTTAGGCAGTCCACAAAGTGCCAAGATAAAAATTTCTGTAAGTAGTTTGGAATGTTGCAACTTGCAGTAATGATGGGTAAGACTATTAAATATTAAGCATCTATGGTTTCTATAAGGGAAGTACAACCAAATCAGTGTGTAGAAATGTGGACAAGTACCTCAAACTTAATCCCATTTAAATTAATGCATGTAGAGATTTCAAAGTAAACATAAGTCAGCTCTGAGTTTATTTCACTTCTTTTCTGCTTTATTAACAGTTCTTGAAAGTCGTTACTATAAACATTTCCAGTCTTCCAGACTGTTTCTCTTCTGTATGTCTGCATATGGAAAGTGCTCAAGTAAGATAGTACTTTAGGGGTTTCTTTATGAATAACGCTGCTGCTGAATAGAAGCAGCAGGGTTATTCATAAGTGATTGTAGACATCATGCTCTCCACGCATGCACAAGCTCACTTCAGTACTGGTCTTCAGACGCAACGCACCCGTAACTACTAGAGAAGAGAAAGCTTCACAAATGGGATGATATAGAATTATCAGGACTCTATAACCCCCAAACAGTGTCCTTTCCTGCTGAAAAGCACCCAAGATTCATTAACCAAAGCACTTGTCCAGATTTTCTTCCTCTATTTACATTAAAGCCTAAATGGCATTAGGAGAGGTAAGGTTGTGACATAAATTCACAAAAAAAGTATAAATAATGGACAACTAGTAAATCCTTCATAGATTTCAACAGGATGGGGCACAAGTTTATCTTAAGGGCCCTTTTATCTGAAAGGGCAGAGAGCAACAGAAGATTCAAAAGTTATGAAAATAGAAACAGTTTTTGAAAAATGGCAAAGACTGATATTAGGGAATAATAACTGGGGGGGAAAAACACAAAACACTGAAGATTGGTGAGGACTTTCTAAAAATTATACATTTTCAACATAAAATGTATAAGCCATATACTGAAAATATATTATGCAAACAGAAATAAACTGATATAAAAAGGTAACTGACTAAATGAAATAAACCACCTAATGACCACTAGAACAAATTAAAAATATATATACAGTCAATTTTTGGTCTTCATGGTTCAGTTCCATAGAGTCACTGAAAACACTGAATTAGTGGATACATTGCTCCTGCAGAAATACTCGTTAGGTTCCTGCAAACTTCTGGTAACAAAGTTTTTGTTAAGAAATCAATACCTAACCTTGTTTTCTGTGTGTTTCTGATTAAAGGCACCTTAAAAATATCGTCAACTCATTAACACTGAACTCATGGGCAAAAGCACTATAACTTATACCTGAATGATGCTTGTCTAACACATTTTCTCCATAAGGCACATCAGAGCCAGGAATGTGCATGTCAGATGACTCAAATATTTTGCTGCTCTGTGTCTGTGCATGAATAGCCCAGAAGCATCATGAATGTTATTTGAGGGTTACAAGTAAGTTTTAGTGAGTAGGTAAATGTGTGAATAGAGAATCTGTGAGTAATGAAGATATACTGTACCTGAAAATTAATGCTGATTTAGGGCTCATTTGTGTAATAGCATAAGTACAGTTCCCTAATCTAAAAATATTTAGATAGTATATTAGGACAATCCCTTTTCACTTCTGAATTTCACAGAACCCTGGATCTCTAGTTAAATTCAGCCACACCGCACACTAGGTCCTCTATAAACCAAACCTATCCAGGCACATTTCCTTTTTTATGAAAACTTATGTACCTCTGATAAAGGAAGGATATATTAATTTCCACCTACCAATCATCATGTGCTCCCATACCCACATATACTTCATCTATCCATCCCTCCCATTATCAAATATTAATCATGCACTGATGCTGGAGATATAGTGATCAATAAGACATGTAAGATTCCTACCCTCTGATGATCATATCTAGTGAGAGACAAACAATAACCATGTAAGCAAATCCATAGCAAATTCCAAAAGATGTAAGTGCAATGAACTGAAGTAAACCAGAATAATGGTTTGTAGGCAATTGTAGGTAAGAAAATATTTTAAATTGAGTTACCAGGCAAGGACTTTTTAAGGAGTTGATGATTAAGAAGTAATACTTTTAACAATAAAGATAAATTAAAAATAAATAAATAGATTAAATTTCATTTAAAAAAAAAGAAAAAATCTGAATTAGGTAAGAGATGAGGGAAAAATGAAAAGATCTAGAAGTTGAAGAACATCAATGGCAGATGCTGTGACGTGGGAGTAAACTTGGCATTTTTGAGGAAAGGAAGGCCCAGAGGGGCTGGCACAAAGGGAGGGAGGAGCTTGGGACCAAATTGTGGCACACCTTGGTCCATGATAATTAAATCTGTGTTTTATTTTAGGTATAATGCAAAAACCCTGAAAGAATTTAAGCAGAGTAGTGTTATGATCTGACATTATAAAAGTATCACTTTGACTGTGTGGAGAACAGGATATGTAGGACCAGGATAGAGCTATGAGAAGGGGCAGTGCTGGGACCAGACTGATGGCCAGAAAGTAGGTTATATATGGAACATGTTTTGAAGAAAAAAAATAAATGAAATATGCTGATAGACTGGCCTCGGGGTTAAAGACAAAAAGTAGAATTAAGGATATTCTTTTTTAAAAAAAATATATTTTATTGATTTTTCACAGAGAGGAAGGGAAAGAGATAGTTAGAAACATCGATGAGAGAGAAACATTGATCAGCTACCTCCTGCACACCTCCTACTGGGGATGTGCCTGCAACCAAGGTACATGCCCTTGACTGGAATTGAACCTGGGACCCTTCAGTCCACAGGCCAATGCTCTATCTACTGAGCCAAACCAGTTAGGGAAAATTAAGGATATTCTTTGAGTAAATAGAAACACACTGAAATAGTAAATACTAAAATGAGGAAGACCGAAGGAGAGTGGCTTAGTGAGTAAGACAACACAATCAAAGGTTTGGTTCTAGTCATTTAAAGATGAGAGGCTTATTAGACAGTCAATACGCCTAGTATATAAATGAAGGAGGGAAAAGAAAGACATAAGAAAATGAATCAGCCCAGCTGGCATTGCACAGTGGCTGAGCATCAACCTATGAACCAGGAGGTCACAGTATGATTCCTGGTCAGGGCACATGCCCAGGTTACGGGTTCCATGATTGGTATGGGACAGGCAAGAGGCAGCCGATCAATGATTCTCTCTCATCATTAAGGTTTCTATCTCTCTCTCCCTCTCCCTTCCTCTCTGAAATCAATAAAAATATATTAAAAATAAAGAAAATAAATCAAAATTAAGAAAGAACAGAAACTAGAGATAATAAATGTAGTGTGAGCCAAACTATGACATAATTTTTTTCAATCCTAAAGCTTAGTAATAATTTAATCATTCACTCAATCAACAAGTATTTATTGTAGCTACACTGTGTTAGGCATGGTTCTAAGTGCTTGAGATGTAAATCTTTCCTACTTGTCCTTTGTACTATCCTAGTTTTTAGATACATGGAATAAATGCATTTTCTGACATCGCTTTTGTAATAAAATTCCATAAATCATTGGATTATATATTGAAAGACAGTCCATGGCTTAATTTTTGCAATATCACAACATATAAGTAAGGAGGTTATTAGGTAAATAATTTTTCAGTGAACCAGTTGTTTTGTTTTCTAAATAGCAGGCACATCCTACCCAATTTTAGTTTTCTGTTAACAATAAAATGTTCTAATTTGAATAATAATATTTGTAATCTTATTGTTCCATTAAAATAATAAAATGCAAATGTGAATCAAATGATCTCAGAACCAAGGTTTCCAAACATGCAAAATGGTTGAAAGCATAGACATCATGACCACAGCAGAAAAGATAACTTTTTCATGATAAAAAAATGTATGCCTTGGGGAATTAAATGGTACATGCAAAGTGGTAGAGATGCGTCTCAAAAAATATATTACACAGCTTGCAGGCGGGGGTGCAATGTCCTCTGGGTTTCTGAGTAAGTAATGCCTGGATTCCCCTGGTGCCCCTGCTGTGGGGACAGAGACACCACCACGGGTCACTGCCCTCAGCACACCCTGGCAGCCTACGGGGTTCCCTACTGCCTTAAACTTGCTTGGACAGTGAATCAGTGTTCTAATCCGTGAAGTAATCATCTCCAGTTGTGGCATCGGGTGCCCCCTGCCTGGACCTACCACCACATCTCATCATTCCTCCCCTTTTCACTTGGGCTCTCAATTTCTAGACTGATTTTTGCCTTAAACATACTCTGAAATTCCTGATAACTTCCCTATCGCTTGGCTTCTAATCCCTCAGTTCCTCTGACCTCACAAAAAATGACTCATTAGCCAGTTTGGTAATTTGGGGCCCAGACTTTGCTCCGGAATTCTGACTGGCCTTTCGTTTAATCTGTATCATCTAACACCGTGATGCTGGTGCTGACCTCCTCCATAAATATTTTTCATGAAGGCAGAAGCTCCTAAGAACACTTAAACCCCTCTTTTTGATATAAACCCTTTTCTGTGTCATGGCAAAAATGGATTACCCCCGCAAACAACAACAAAAAAGACAGTCTACCTTTTAACCTCTTAGTTTAGAAGAGAAATAAAAGTCCTATTATTTAATGGACCTTTAAAACAGTTTTGTGAAACAAGCCCATGCATTTGTCAGAAGAAACTATTGTCAGAACTTCAAACATTCTGATTCAAATAGCACAGATAATGTAAACGCACTTTAATCTCCTTGCAAATGTCTGCAACAAGAGAAAGGATGGGAGGAAAAAACACATTGGCTCTTGATGTTACATTTTATAGGCAATCCTTTGCTTCTTGGCTGATTAAAACGCTGATTCTCTGGTTCTTTGCTTATTTAATGAGGATCCCCTTAAAGGCCACTGCCATTTATAGAGCGTACACTCCAAGAAGGTTGCCTAAACGACTTTACCTCAAAGGCCTGAAAGGTCAGCCCGACATAGTAGCCTTCTGACACCATTATTTTCCACACACATTCTTTCATCGGTCTGTAATCATCGGGATAATTAGGAGACTGAATCTGTCCTTCATTTTTACGGATCTCACCTCCACAGATTGCTGGGGAAAGCAAAAATAAATAAGTAAATCTAGACATGACATTTCATTTTCTTCTAAAAATAACATTTCAGTTCAGTGCCTGTAGCTGAGTAATTCCATAAAGTCCAGGTTATAAAAATCAAAGTTGGCCGGTTATACTGTTGTAAAAATTTAGATGGTTAAAAAAAAAAAGCCCCCAAAATTCTAGCCACTTAACTATAAATATTAGATAGTAGTCAGCACGGGCATATGTGCTTTTTTAATCACCACACTTTTACTCAAAATAAAAAGCATATTTTTAACACTTAAAAGCTTGAGAGATTTTACAAGTTTCGTGTGAGTCTGCTCTGTGATTCCCTGAGCGGCTGCTTTCGAGTTTTGACCTCAGGTACAAGAGCTGATCAGAAGAGAAGTTGCACAGAACTCTGGTCCCTGGCAGTGGACTAGCGTCATGTGCTCAACATCTGTGGCTCCGTCCAAATAATCCTTTTCACTGCCATGCAGTTAATCTTTGGAACAAAATACCTCCGTTCACTTAAAAGTTTAAGGGAAGCAGAAGTCTGCTGTCTTCTGAATTTCCTAAACTGCTGTCCCACCAGAGGCAGGAGCAGGAAGGGCCTCCTCCACCCACAGCCAGGCAGGAGCAGAGCAAGGCGGGAGCACAGTGCCAGCGTATTGTCTTAGAGGATAGGACAGCCGTGGGCAAACTACGGCCCGCAGGCCGGATCCGGCCCATTTGAAATGAATAAAACTAAAAGTACCCTTTTATGTAATGATGTTTACTTTGAATTTATATTAGTTCACACAAACACTCCATGCATGCTTTTGTTCCGGCCCTCTGGTCCAGTTTAAGAACCCATTGTGGCCCTCGAGTCAAAAAGTTTGCCCACCCCTGGGATAGAACAAAGCACACAGCAGATTCTTCCCTGAATGCTGACCCTCTCCTTGAGACAAAGCGTGCTCCAAATGTGCACAGTTACTTTCTGTGCAGTTTCCTCTAGCAGAGCATTTCAGCAGTACAGGCACCAAACAGACACAAATTCAGTACGAAGGAAAAGGATAAGTTCTTCACAATATTCTAATATCATCATGAAAAAAAAAAAAAAACGTTTGCAGTTTAAGAACTCTTGTGTCCTTTTTTCCCCAGTACACATCCCTGAGTACATTTATATGTTACTACATCAATGGTACAAAAAAAATGCAATTTACATTCACCAAGTATTTTTATTAAAAATCATCCTTGTGAATATTATAACACAAAGTTTCAAAAACTTATAATTAAAATACAGCTACAATATCACTGTACTGAGTTTATATATATATATATATTTTTTTTTTTGGTTTTTATTCTTGTATGTTTTTGAGAGAAAGCATATTTCTATTAAGAGCTCCTTAGAGGAAGTAACCTGTAAAACTCAATGGGACTTGCCTTCATAGAGAGCTGCGAAGCCTTTTCCTACCCAATTACTGCTGCTCCGAAACTCAATCCACATTCTGCTGTCTGTAGAGGTAAGAACTTCAGGCAATTTGTCCCCACAGAATCTGCCTAAAAGAAATAAAACAATAAAGAGAGACTCCTAAATATGACTCTGTATTCTAATTGCTTTCCACAGTAACTATATATTTTATATATATATATAACCTGATTTGGTTCCTATCTCTATCCTTAGTAACTAGAACCATAACCACACCTTAATATTTACTTATTAGTGGTGGATAAATAAACCAATCCCTTTGTGTCTATTAATAAAATATTAGAACATATCTTCAGATTAACCAACTGTCAGTATCTTTATTCTGTAGAAGGAAGAAATAGCTAGCTCAAAAGACATACTTGTAAAAAGTCATGTGGGGACATCAAGGTGGGGAATATTATTCTATGAAGAAAAGAAAAAAAGTACAAATGATGCTGAGAAGCCCGTTTAAATTGCCAGTCTGGTCATTCGTAGGGGAGTAACTTGGTTAAAGCTATGCCTCAGCTCAAAGTGGAGTTCTTTGTCTGGCCAGGTTCAGTGATGACTCATCTGAGGGGCTGACAAGCTGCTCCGAGGATCTCATGCTACTGCATACACTCCATCTCATCTATAACGCTACAATCTGCAGTGTTAGTAGGCAGAATGGCAAGTAGTATCAGAAAAATGGAATATAAGTTCTAACATTTTTATAACTGTGTATCCATTGGCAAGAACAATACCAAAGAATATAATAAATCCTGTCATGTCTGCTTTCTTCCCTCAACCTTCCACAAATACTCATTACCTACTGTATGTCTGCCACTGTGCGGTAAAATTCAATGAGATAACAAAATGGTTAAATATGACAACGCACATGAAACTATTCTACAAACAATACATTGTCATCCATTTTCGCGTGCCCCTGGCAATGATGTTGTACATGGTTTTAGTATATTTAAAACAGCAGTCAACGTGAAACAAATTCATAGTAACAGCGAACAGATGAGGGACTGTCTTCCTAACTGGCAAAGCACATGGCGGGCATGTAAAAGAGTGCAATGTTTCTTCACCTGTAATGTGCCTATGAATCGCCAGGGTGTCTGTGAAATACAGTCTCTAATTCAGGAGAGATGGCGTGGACATAAATTTCTACATTTTTAACAACCTTCCAAGTGATTCTGATGTTGCCGGTCTGGTGACTACTAGAGGGACAAGGGTTTGGAGGAAATAGTGGGGAGAGCTTTCCACATGAAAACTCGGATCCGACCAGGGCAGTGTGGACCCTCAGACACCACGCACTGCTGATGGCGCGCTTGATGTTTTAATTTGCATTTGATTCTCCAATATGAGTTCAATGAAATGTTTTCTTTGGGACGCACATACATGTGTCACAAATTGCTTCATCTAGGCCAGCGATGGCGAACCTTTTGAGCTCGGCGTGTCAGCATTTTGAAAAACCCTAACTTAACTCTGGTGCCGTGTCACATATAGAAATTTTTTGATATTTGCAACCATAGTAAAACAAAGATGTATATTTTTGATATTTATTTTATATATTTAAATGCCATTTAACAAAGAAAAATCAACCAAAAAAATGAGTTCGCGTGTCACCTCTGACACGCGTGTCATAGGCTCGCCATCACTGATCTAGGCTAAGAAACCAAATGTTCAAGACAATGTTTTCCACAACCTCAATTCATTTGATTCTTTATGTCTGCTCATTTTTTAAACATTTCTACAGGGCTCTCTCTTGGACTTCCTAAGGCTGCTGTCACTTTTAATATAACAGTGTCCATGCAATAGGTTTTAGGTGGTAAGAAAAAAGATCTGTATGGTACATAAATGAAACTGAGCAAAGCTACCTCTAAGAATAAAGGTAAAGTCACAATCCAAAAAGTCAAAAGATGCTGACATGCCAACAGCTCTCACCTTTATGTAAAGCAGGGCAACAGGAAGTTAATGGTGTGGTCTGTGGTTTCACGTTGGCAGCAGACTTCCCTGAGCGTCAGATCTGAGCTATGATTTATGACACAAACTACAGCTGTCTCTTCCCAGCCACAATAAACTCTCTGAGAAGCAAAACTGTGTCGTTTACAGTACCAGCTAATGTGCTTGGAAACCAGCTACTAACTACTATACCTAACAGCTCACACTCTGCTGCCTGAGCAAACACACACACACACACACACACACACACACACACATACATACATACACACACACACAATTTACCTGATTTTCTCATTAAAACTATGGTTTTAAAATTAAAACTACAGAAACACTGTGATGAGTAGTCACTGTAAGCATAATAGATGTGAACGCTACTTTAAGTCATTATTCTAAATCAGATCTGAGTACTACCTCATATTTGAAGCTGGTTTAAATCAATTTACTTATTTATCTATTTGTCGTGAGTAGTCTTTTTGAGGTTTAAAAAAGAATAATAAAATTAATATGTTGGTCACATACAATTTTAACTCTAAGATGACTCTTGAAAGAATCAATAGTCTTTAGGCAGGACAGACTATATGCATGGCCACAGAGAAGGTAATTGATCTCTTACCAAGGAGAGCCGATTTCCTCCAGTACCCATCTCTTACTTCAATGTAGTCATACCAGCACAAACTACTTTTGTATAAGTCCATCGTGGTAAAATTTAAAACGATCTGCAAAACAAAGCGAAACAGCACCGAGTTAAAATGATTGTAACTGCACATGGTGATTTGATTCTTGGAGGCTAGGAGGCCAGGGCTACTGTGAAAACATGCTAAATTTTTTTCTACATTAGTATTCTCTTATTTTTCTTTATAAATACCACACACACAAACACACACACACAAAACACACCACCCTGATTTTCTCATACTATGTTTAACAATATAAAAGCACAAATATTTTAGCAACTAAAGCACAGATTCTGTAAATTTGACCAACTGTGAAACAAACAGAAACCTTTATTCATATAATTTATTTTGAATTTTCTAAGATAAACATGACTTAAACCATGAAAATTCTGATTTTGCCATAAATGTCTTCTTTTTAATAATTTATTTCAAAGGCGACCAGACATATATAATCATGTTAAAAATAATCACCATGTGCCATTATCCAAGAACATAATATTATTGTGTATGTTGAAATGTTCAAGAACAGCTCCAGAATTTGAATTTGTCCATGTAAGTATAATCAAAGGCAGATGTCATTATGCTTCTCTAGATCCAAGAATATATATATTCAAAGACCTTTCAAGTTAGATATTGCACATGATTCTTTATTCTGTACTTTGTTTTGAAATGCTGCTGTTTTTTGTGAAGATAATTCAAGAACAGCTCTCGGCAAGACAATTTCCTTACTGCTTTATAAAAAGACTTTACTTTTCAAATATGTAACTCTTTTTATTACTTCATTACATCCAAAGAAGAGTCAAACTAATGAGAAACTCACCTACCTGATGAAAAAAGTACATTTGGAAAATATTTTTTTATATTCTAAAACTCATTCTGGCCCAGCCAGCATGGCCAAGTGGTTGAGCGTTGACCTATGGGCCAGGAGGTCATGGTTTGATTCCTGGTTTGGTCGGGGCACATGCTTGGGTTGCAGGGTCAATCCCCAGTATGGGACACGTAGGAGGAGGCCGATCAATGATTCTCTTTCATCATTGATGTTTCTATCTCTTTCCCTCTCCCCTCCTTGATAAAATCAATAAAAATATATTTTAAAAAACATACAACTCATTCTAACTCTTTTCTGCTTAAAATAGCTAAGATAATTAAGGCATTTGATTAACCTGTTCTTTATTCCGAAAATGAAAAAGGCTTTGGCTATAAGCAACAAATATAAGTATTTGAAATGCCTCCAATATAAAACTATAGTTTGTAACAATACACAAAGAATCTTTTTGTGATGATATAAAAATCTAGATGTAAGAGAACTCTCAAGGAATGACTAAAAAAAGAAAGAAAAAGATATATCAATCAATCCTGAATCCATATTCAAGAAATTACTACCATTGTTGTGTTAAAAAACATGTACTTCTCTCCTTTCTTGATATTTAACAGAAAGTTAAGTACTAATTAAGACAAACCAATCCTTAACTAGCTCACTTTTTCCAAGAATGAAGATACAGAATAACAATAAGTATTTTTCATGGCACCTTATATCTCAGCATCACAATGATCACCCATAATATTGTACAGCAAAGTTGGTTATACTTGCATATGTAAATAATTATTTTAAGGAGATAAAAACTAAGAATTTATCAAACTATAACGAAAATCAATTGTACCTAATAATGGCATTAACATTTCACCAATAAATTGAATGCATTTAAATTTCTTTAAATGTACTTTCTAGATTACAATGAGATGAAATCTACTAAAGATGTAAAAATAGAGACACACTTTAAAAAATGTAATACAGTAGATGTGGCATAATTCGGTTTTAAGAAAATGATTCATTTATTTTTATCTACCTTATTCATAGTTTTTCTTTTATCTTTGCTTTTCTTCTCCTGCATCTAATTTTATCATTCCAAATACCTTCAAAAATGCTTACAAAAATGTCCAAAATAGCTAAAGATAAAGGACTTATCATTTCCTTTCTTTGTAAATAATCCTCAACAGTTGATTATCAAATGCATTATTTCTGAACTATTTTTTTCCAAAGATCCCAAAATGTTTCTCCTCTATCTCTGAATACCAATACAACATTAAGTCATTCTTAGGACATAATTGGGAAATAATTTCTGTTTTTTTTCTCAGGGAATACTACCAGTGTTAAGTTTCATTTGCATTTGTATTTCCCTTATGGCAATCACAAGGGATTCAAGTCTGTAGAGCACATATAAGAATTCATTTATTACAGCAGAGTTGGCACAGCTAGAATACAGACATGAACAGTAGTAGGCCCCAAGGCTTATTTTGTGCCTTCCCTCTTGGGTTTAAAGGGAGTTTTATACTAGTGTAAGAATAATTCAACTTACTCCTGAATGAGGTAAAAAAGATGAGCTAAATTGGAAGTTATGTATATCATCAAACTTTATTCAGAATTGAAACAATGTGTTTGGATTGCTAACAAATAGTTAATATTTGAAGTCTGGAACACACACACACATTTGGAAGGAGAATAACTCTAAACAGAAAAGTTTCCTATCTTGTTTTTAAACTTCTATTTTAAACGCCAAGCACCACAGAGAAACAAAACTGGCCTACTTTAATATAAAACACAGAGCCCTTTCAAAGCAGAAAATGTAATAAAGATAGATTTTCTTAAAATCAAATCGGAGGGCTCTGATGTAGAAGTAAAACGCTGGCCCTTTCCTAAGGCTGCTAGCAGAATCCACACATGAATTACAAACCATAAGCATTGGAAAATACTTGATTGTTTTATATTATACTATTTTATGCAAATATGTTGCATCTTTTTCCAAAGAATGGCAAAATAAAAACTACTGAGCACAATTATATAGATGTTTTATTTCTTATGATAAGTATTACCATTTATCGATGTACCCATAGTTCCCTTGGAACAGGTAATTGAGGGAGATATAAGGAACAATTTTAAGATTTCCCGTTTATCAGTCAAGAGTCTTATTTGTTATACTGTGAAGTTAAATTGATACAATTGTGGTGGAGTTTGCTTATTAAAAACTTTGCTGTCCAATGATGCAAAGAAAGTGAAGAATATTGAAGAAAGACGGATCAATAGTGTAGGGACCAGATGTTTGTAAGTCTTCAGAGGAAGATTAATCAATGAACTTTTGTCAGAATGATGAAGATGTTATTGGTTACCTAAACTAATTCCATGAGCACCATAGAAAGGTCAACTAGAACATTTATACCTTATTGTGCTGAGGATGGGGAAGATGTAACAAATCTTGTCAATTATACTGATAGCATGAAGTGGTTTTTTGGAAAGAGATATTAGAATCAAAAGCAGTAAATTAAACAGATTTCTGGCCTTTATCCAGAAGCAGCTTAGGAAAGACTTATAAACTCTCTAGGGAAACTACAGTTTTCTTCTCAGAAATAAGACTAGGAGCAGAACAGGGATCAGTAAACTATGCCCGATGCACCAAATCCAGCCTTCAGCCAGTTTTTATAAAGAACGTTTTGTTGGAAACGTTACTTTACATAATTTCTAGGACTAAACAACAGAACTGAGTGTTTGAAACAGACTGTATAGCCTGCAAAGCTAAAAATATTTACTGTATATCCTTTCAAAAAAATGTGCCAACTCCTGGAATAATTGATCATTACATTTTTGTTCAGCTTTGAACTGTATCATGCTAAAGGGAAACGTTTGCATCTTTTCCTACAACTAAAAGCCGTCTGTGATTGGGAGTCAGAAAGCCAGGATTAAACTTCTAGCTTCTCAGTTTGTTAGTTTACTTAAAATTTCTGAGTTTGAACGAATTTTTTCACTGTAACATGGAGGTCATCATATCAAGCTGATCTCAGCACAATTAAATCCGAAGGACTTACTTGGATAATGTGTAGAAAACACTAATAATCTGAAGTATTGTTAATATTCTCCTATATTATTATTATTTCCATGATACATATTCAGGCATCTCTCACAATATAAATGTTACAACAGTTATGAAATAAAAATATAATCCAATTTACTTAATCTAACTATACTGGGAAACACAAAAATATAGGCTGGATTTTATTGTTGTTGTCAATCCTCACCAAGGATATATTTTCCATTGATTTTTTTTTTTTAAAAGGAAGAATGGAAGGGAGGGAGGGAGGGAGGGAGGGAGGGAGGGAGGGAGAGAGAGAAGGAGGTGGAGAGAGAGAGTGAGAGAGAAACATGGATGTGAGAGAAACATATCAATTGGTTGCCTCCCACAATCACTCTGACTGGGGCTGGGGATTGAGCCTGCAACTGAGGTATGTGCCCTTGACCAGAATCAAACCCTAGACTCTTCACTCTGTAGGAAGACACTCTACCTACTGAGCTTAATCGGCTACCAGGGCAATATAGGCTCAACTTTAAATTTTCTCAGGAAAATCAACATGTCAAAGTAAAGGATCTTTTACTTTAAAATACAAAGGATGGACAAGGAAGCTTGTGGCCTTGGTTCAAGGCCCTGCCTTACAACAGACTAGTTGTCTGACTCAGACAGATCTCTAATTCCATCAGGGATTAACTATATGACAGGTGAGAAACAGGAGTTAAATTATACCATGAAACTAATTTTTCTGCTTAAACATATGTGATACCTGGATTTTAAAATTTTGATATCATCACCAACTACTCACAGGGTCTTTTAAAAAATGTAATAGATTTTATTATTTCTGAAGTTATACATATACATTACATAATTTAGTAGAGGTCTCATTCAGTGATTATATACTTTGCTGCAAACAGTTTGCAGATATCCCATTTGGTACAAATTAATTTTGTGTTATATTTTGTTATGTTTAGTATATATGTTTTATTATTGCTGACACTATCACAGATAACCCCCATTCCCCCCACCCTTGCCCACTGCCACCCAGCCTCTGCCCCCCTCTCCTGACCTTCACCACACTGCTGTCTGTGTCCGTGGGCTATGCATATATGTTCTACCTCCCTTTCCTTAATTCCCACCCCAACTCTATAGCCAATCAGTTGCAACTTCTCTAGATGATACTCTGCAATGCTGCTAAAAATGTCCTCCTCCTTCCTTTTTCAGTCAGTGCTTTCCATGTTTCTCTGAATTAACTGCACTAACTCCAAGATCTGAGCTCTCTTATCTCTGCAAATCCATAAGTGGTATCTTGCTTTCGTCAACTATTTTTCAGAGCTCGCCTAGGATAACACTAGGCCTTGTCCTTGATATATGTGCATAAGATTCCTGATAGCAAAGATTTCTTTCACACACCAGAAGACACATTTTAATGGAATCAACAATTTATCTATACAGCAATTGCTAGATTTAAGCTGTGCCTTTGCCAATATAAACATTACATTGTAAATTGACCCCATATGGGTAAACTGTTAGATGAGTGGTTAAGAAGACATTTTTTTTTTTCCAAAATTAAAGTAGTCAAATGATAGCTTTTAAATGGGTTACATAGGAAAAGAAAAAAAAATGCTAACTGTATTCAATATGTAAGAAGTCTATCCTTGTTAAAAGATCAATCAGTTCTGAGGGATGGAAGAATCGATACTGCATGCTTTTATCAGCTCAACACAGCTACATTCTCAGCTGCACATCCTGGACTGTTACCAGCATGTCCTGTGCAACATCAAAAACAGCCTCAGATTGGACAAACTCTGTCTTTACCTTGGCAGGCTTACTCCTACAAAGATACACACATGCACTGACAATCTCTCTTTTTTTTAGTGTGGTAAAATATACATAACATAAAATTTACCATTTTAACCATTTCAAGTGTATAGTTCTGTAGCATTAAGCACATTCACACTGTTGTACAACAATACTTTCATTTTTTAAATGATATATTCCCACCCTAGCTGGTATTGTACAGTGTTGGCCCAAGCACCAAAGGGTTGTGGGTTCAATTCCCAGTCAAGGGCACATACCTGGGTTCGATTCCCAGCCCTGGTCAGGGTGCGTGCAGGTGGCAACCAATCAATGTGTCTCTCTCATATTAATTTTTTCTCTCTCCCTCCCTCCCTGCTTCCCTTCCATTCTCTCTAAAAATCAATGGGAAAAATATCCTCTGGTAAGAATTAACTAACAAATAAACAAATAAAAAATAAAGGAATAAAATATGTTTTTCTTACATAAAATAATATATGCTTATCATACAAAATAAAAGAAGAAATGAGCCCTTGCTGGTTTGGCTCAGTGGATAGAGCGTCAGCCTGCGGACTGAAGGGTCCTGAGTTCGATTCTGGTCAAGGGCACATGCCTGATTGTGGGCTTGATCCCCAGTAGGGGATGTGCAGGAGGCAGCCGATCCATGATTTCCTCTCATCATTGATGTTTCTATCTCTCTCTCCCTTCCTCTCTGAAATCAATACAAATATTTCTTTTTAAAAAAGAAAAAGAAATGAAACCTATATATAAATCCAACAAGGATAAATAAGCATTGTTTTGTTATATATTCTTCCATAATTTTGTCTCTAACATATGTACTTTAACAATTAGATATTTTCATGCCTCTGACTTTTAACCTACTGATTAAATTTTCCAATATATTGAAAAATTGTCCTCTAGTTCCAGGAAACACACAATCTTATATAAAAAAAAAAAAGAATGTTTGTAACAAGGGTGCTGTGATGTTTCTAGATAATAACTCATGTGATCATCTTCAGGAAGATAAATTTAATGACATTCTGTATCATGTTTTATTCCTTTTTAATGAGCATGACTTGATAAAGAAATTATCAATAGGTCTTTTACATTGGCCATTCTGTATATTTTGGTAAAATAGAACGTTCAATCTTTTAAAACCCATTATAAATTTTTTGAACTATTTAGTCTTTTATTTGATTAATTAAACAAGAATAAAAAATAAAGCAAATTAAATTTGAAAAATAAACCTCTGCACTTATATGAGAGTAAAAGAGAACTCTTGATATTATAAACTACCTTCTCCCCTGGGGTCACAGAAACTCTCCAGATGCAGTGTGTGTAAGAAGGGTAGCCGTTGGGAAATCCTGGAGAGGAAAGGTTGCCATTGGACTCTTGTAGGGTTTCTCCACATGCTGAAATAAAAATAAAATACATATATTTGATTTTTTAAAAAGATAACATCTATTATTTCCTAAAAAGTATAAGATCATTTTTAATTTTAATGAAAGGTATGGGCATCATACTTAAAACCTTGAATCGCCGAAACCGGTTTGGCTCAGTGGATAGAGCGTCGGCTTGCGGACTGAGGGGTCCCAGGTTCGATTCCGGTCAAGGGCATGTACCTGGGTTGCGGGCACATCCCCAGTAGGAGATGTGCAGGAGGCAGCTGATCGATGTTTCTCTCTCATCGATGTTTCTAACTCTCTATCTCTCTCCCTTCCTCTCTGTAAAAATCAATAAAATATATTAAAAACAAAAACAAAAACAAAAACAAAAAAAACCTTGAGTCTTTTAGTGTTAGACAAGAGTATGTATTTGTATTTTATAAAGACTTTCCCTTTCTAAATAATTTATTTTTATGTCTCTCATAAGAATTTCACTATACCTAATGGGATCACTAGGGTTAACCGAATCACGAGAACCGTAGATAAATAACTGGCCTGTATAAAGTACTTCCTCATGGAAACCTCTGCTATCCCTTCCCAAGGAGCCAGTAGCCAACTTGTAAATGGCCCATATTTTGATTCAGGTCAGTCGCTACCTTGTTGATGTGTCTCTGAGACCACATGAAACATTCCATCAACATATTCAATGTAAATTGAGGCTAAGTTCAGTTTACATTGAATTATTCCATGTGAAAGTTGAAAAAAATCTTAGCTAATAAGTAATCCATAAAAGTGGTACCAAAATGTAATCACAATGAAAGTTTTTCTCAAAATAAGCCCCCCAAAACTGAAAGATTAAAAAACATCATGGACGCCCTGGCCAGTTTGTCCCAGTGGGTAGAGCATCGGCCTGCGAACCGAGGTGTCCCGGGTTTGATTCCAGTCGAGGGGCACATGCCTGGGTTGCGGGCTCGGTCTAATGTGCAGGAGTCAGCCAATCAATGATTCTCTCTCATCATTGATGTTTCTATCTCTCCCTTCCTCTCTGAAATCAGTGAAAATATATTTTAAAAAATCATGGAAGACTCAAATTTTCCAACAGGATGTAGATGTTTATTTACTCTCTCTTTTCTGTTGATCATAAGTACAAATTGCTGGAAAAGCAATTACATTTTTCTCTTACTAAGCCTGTCTAATTTCTTGGAAGTAATTACTAGTCATCTGAAATAGCAAATTATCAGCTCCACAGCCATCAGATCTGTATGATTGATATCTCTAGGGCTATTTCAACAAAGGCAAAAAGCAGAGTGTAATTAACTTATTGGTGCAGCCAAGGTCAGAGTCATTCTATAACGGGTTTTCCTGTTGTTTTGTAAGACATGGTATGAGCTACATGAACCTAGGATGCTTTAAGTATCCTTAATCCAAAAATAATTTCTCTGCTGCAGCCAGTCATCTTTAAACTTTTACTCAACAACAATGTGAAAGAACAGTTTCTTCCCTCTGATGGAGACTGAAATAAAAACTGAGATATTTCCATATGAGAGACCAATAGTTACCGGCAGCTCATCATATCCTCAATAAGTTGCCGATGGTTTTGCATATCTTAACTTGAATGTAAAAAAGAAAGATGATGACTTCCTAAACACAAAACAGAGCTGTAAAAAGAGTCTGATACAATATAAATTTTTTTTAGAAACACAGAAATTATGTTTGCACAGCAAAATAAGTTTAAAGTAAGAGTAAGCAATATTTATTCTGATAAAAGCAACTTTAGAACAAAACAAAAATGCTCATTGGTCAAAAATACACAATTCAGGACTTTTCATGAATCAAGAAGGGCACTTGATAAATATAATGTTATAAGAACCCTTAAAAAGTTTAAATGTGTTAAGATTTATTGACGCAAACAATGTGCTTCTCACTAAAGTCAGTTTAGATGCTAGTCATGTTGGAGTTGAGTGTGTTTCAATGAAAAGAGCTAGAATTCACAACAATTTAAAAATAAAATCTGTAATGATTGAAACCTCCACTAAACTACATAGAATGCTGGCACTGAATTTCCTAAAGTAGAATTAAAACAAAGAAATATAGTTAATCTACAAATATAACAATAATGATATGATAAAAAATAAAAGATTCTATAAATGAAAAAATAAATATAACATATAATTCAAAAATTTAATAAATATATAGCACCTGCTTATAAATGCAAGAAGTACAAACAATAGTCAAGTTGTGGTAATTATTTTTCCATTTTCTAGTACATGTGGTTGTCCCATATAACCTGGGACAACCACACCTTCTGTTAATTAACCTTCTGTTAATTCCTACTAACAGAAGATTTTCATCCATTTTCCCAGCCATTTGTGGATTAATGCTCAGATATAAAGAGAAAACTTTATTATTAAAAGAATTAAAGGAAAAAACAAAGATGGTGGCATAGATAAACACCGGGAAATCGCTGCCTCCCACAACAACTTCAAAAAAAACAACATAAAGACAAAACGAACAGCATCCAGAACTACAGGAAAGCTGGCTGAGTGGAAATTCCACAACTAAAAGGAAAGAAAACCACACTGAGAGCCAGAGGAGCTGCGGAAGTAAAGTGCAGAGGTACGGAGGCTCGCGAGCAGAAAGGGGCTGGTACCTGAGGACGCGGCTGTCTTTTTAAATCGAGAGGGAGTCACAAGCTCCCGACTGCTCTGAACTCCGGTTCCTAGAAGTCTCTGGGGACCCAGGACTCATACGGGGAGAAACTGGACTGTCTGGTAGCGGGCAGAACTCGGAACTTGAGGTCGGCTTTCCCTCAGAGGTGCTTGCAGCAATTACCGGGACACTGGGATGCGCGGCCCCTTAGGGCAGGGCTGGGAATCCCCCATAGCTGCTTGCTCCGCCCTTTGATTCACGGAGACCCCGCCCCACCCAGGCTGCGGCAGAGACTTTTGCATATGAATACCCCGGCCCTTTGCAACCTGAAAATTACCTAACAAACTGCAGCTGGGCCACAGACCCAGAATTTCCAAGAGAAGGCCCAAGGCCCCACAGCAGCTTGCATTGCTTCACAGCTGGGCCTCATCAGGGTACCTCCAAACTCCAAAAAAGGAAGGGGAATCTGCAGTTCTCTTCGTAGCTCCTGCTGTGTAACCTCAGGCAGAGGCTAAATTAGTACCTCCTTAGATCCAAGAGCCAGTGTATCCAGTGGTCAGAGGGGGACCATCCAGATTACAACCTCTCAGATCCATAAGGGACACACTCAGGGTGCAGACTCAGTGAGCACCAAATCCCCACTGAAGCAAGTCTTGCTCCAGAAGGGTGTCTTCAGCACAGAAGTTCCACTGCAGACAGAGCTGATTCTCACTGCCAATTGTCCTGGAGGTCAATTCCTCCCAGTGATCCTACAACAATCAAGGCATAACTACAATAAGACTGTGCAAAAAGCCCGCAAGGGGGTACACCAAGAGTGTCCAACTCAGGTAACTGGGGAGGCTGAGCCACTGGGCCCTACAGGACACCTAGGACACAAAACCACTCTACCAACACAGGGAAGCATAAAAAAATGCGGAGACAAAGAAACAGGTCACAAATGACAGAAATGGAGGAAAGCAAACGACTGGATATAGAGTTCAAGGCCACGTTTATAAGGTTTTTCAAGAATTTTATGGAAACCGCCGATAAATTTAGTGAGGCCCTCGATAAATCTAGTGAGACTCTTGAGGATATGAAAAAGGACCAACTAGAAATTAAGCATACACTGACTGAAATAAAGAATAATATACAGAGATCCAACAGCAAACAAGAGGATCCCAAGAATCAAGTCAAAGATTTGAAACACGAAGAAACAAAAAAGACCCAACTGAAAAAGAAAAAAGAAAAAAGATTCCAAAAATATGAAGATAGTGTAAGGAGCCTCTGGGACAACTTCAAGCGTACCAACATCCGAATTATAGGGGTGCCAGAAGAAGAGAGAGGGCAAGATATTGAAAACCTATTTGAAGAAATAATGACAGAAAACTTCCCCCACCTGGTCAAAGAAATAGAGTTACAAGTCCAGGAAGCCCAGAGAACCCCAAACAAAAGGAACCCAAAGAGGGCCACACCAAGACACATCATAATTAAAATGCCAAGAGCAAAAGACAAAGAGAGAATCTTAAAAGCAGCAAGAGAAAGACAGTCAGTTACCTACAAGGGAGTACCCATACGACTGTCAGCTGATTTCTCAACAGAAACCATGCAAGCCAGAAGAGAGTGGCAAGAAATATTCAAAGTGATGAACAGCACGAACCTACAACCAAGATTACTTTATCCAGCAAAGCTATCATTCAGAATTGAAGGTCAGATAAAGAGCTTCACAGATAAGAAAACGCTAAAGGAGTTCATCACCACCAACCCAGCATTATATGAAATGCTGAAAGGTATTCTTTAAGAAGAGGAAGAAGAAAAAGGAACTCTTACCATTTGTCACAGCATGGATGGAACTGGAGAGTGGATAAATACCACATGATCTCACTCATTTGTGGAATATAATGAACAACATAAACTGATGAACAAGGACTGATCCAGAGACTGAGAGGCATTGATTGGACTGTCGGGCCTTGGAGGGAAGGTAGGGGAGGGTAAGGGGGAAAGATCAACCAAAGGACTTATATGCAAGCATATAGGCCTAAACAATGGATACGGACAACGGGGGGGGGGGGGGGGGGGCGGTGAGGGCATGAGCCGAGGGGGGGGGGTAGAGGGTAACGTGGGGATAAGGACACATATGTAATATCTTAATCAATAAAAAATATATTAAAAAAAAAGAATTAAAGAAAAATTACCAAGGAAAATGTGACACTAAGATAAAGTGCATAGTCTGCCCATATGTATGTGGATGAGAAAACTGTTATGGCATTACTAATATACAAGTAAGTCTTTTAAGCTTCCACCTCAGTTTCTCTTCTCTAAAGCGACTATCTTGTTGATATGTACTTCATAAAGTAGCTTTGTAAGGGTCAACTATTATGACGCCCTAAGGTATGACGTCTACTTACATACCTTTTTCACAAAAAGGAAGACTGTGGCCTTAATTGTTAGAATGTGTTTTTGAATTACAAATGCAGTCATATCCAGTAAAAAAAAAAAAAAAAGGCTTTAAAAAATAGCAAAGAAAATTATCACTTTCCTAATTGAAATTACTCTAAAACAAAACATAATTCAGAGGTTAAGCTTCTATCTCTCTAGGCAGATGACATGATCTTATATGTATAAAACCATAAAGATGCCACACATTCACACATAAAACTGTTAGAATTAATAAATTCTGCAAAATAACAGGACATAAAATCAACATACAAAAATCAGTTACATTTCCATACACTAACAAGTAATCTGAAAAAGAAATAAAGAAAACTATCCCATCTATAATAGCATCAAAAAGAATAAAATATTCAGAATACCTTAACCAATGAGAAAAAAGGATTATACACTGAAAACAACAAAAAACCACCAGAAAAAAATTAAAGAAAACAAAGCAATGTAAAGAAATTCTGTGTTCATTGATTTGAAGACTTAATATTGCTACAATTTCCATACCACTCAACATTACCTACAGATTCTATGCAATCTCTATAAAAATCCCAATGGCTTGTTTTGCATAAATGAAAGAAAAAAGTTCTAAAATTCATATAAACCACAAAATCTGAACAACTAAAACAATCTTAAGAAGAACAAATATGGAAGCTTCACACTTCTTGACTTCAAAACATATTATAAATCTACAGTAATCAAAACAGTGTGGTATTGTCATAAGATAGACATACAGACCAATGGATCAGAATAGTCAAAAATAAGCCCATGCATATACAGTAAAATGATCTTCAATAAGGGTGACAAGACTACACACTGAGGAAAGGACAGTCTCTTCAACAAATGGTGTTGGGGGAACTAGTTATACACATACAAAAAAAATGAACTTAGACCTTTATCTGTCACCATACACAAAATCAACACATAACATTTGTATTTAAAAGAAAGATATCCTTAGAAGCTTCTTTATTAAAGGTATTTACTTTATATTCCTCATAGATTCACTGTTATTTGACATATTTAATGAAGAAAGAATTCTGAAGATAATATTAGAGTTGATAGTTGGTATAAGTACTAAGTAGTTATAAACAATAAGGGCACTGGGCTATAGAAAAAATAAATTAAGAGAAAATGCAATTAAAGACCAGAAAAGTCACAACCTCAAATATCTACATGTGAAGGTCAGGCATCCTTTCAAGATTAAACTCTAAAGAACAGCTCTATAGGATGCAGAAGCAATAGAACTTTGAGCATAAACTTATATGGAGTAAAGAAGTTGGAGTAAAAAGCAGCCAAATAGCTTTATTGACTCTATTTACCAGCAATTTCTCACAAAACAGCAAGACAGACTCCAAAGAAATATGCAGTTCTACAAAACCCTCTTCTCTATGAAAAGCAAGAAACAACCAGGTGTCACGTTATAAACCCTTACTTTCTTAGGTGATTCTCAGATGAGCCACCCTATTTAGACTTCAGTGTGGAATTGTGGGTCTTGACCACAATTCCACTGATGCACTTGGAGTTACTGTTAAATCGACAGCATCAGTGTAGCTGAACTGTATTTTGAAAATGGCAAGTGTATGTTTACCAACATCATTAGTACTCCCATTGTGAGGAAATGAAGAACCTTAAATACATAACCATAAATAGGGCTCAGAACTAGTGCATATGAGAGAGAGAGAGAGAGAGAGAGAGAGAGAGAGAGAGAGAGAGAGAGAGAGACACGGAGGGGTGGGTACAGTGCTGAGAGGGACAGAGAAAGAATAGAAAGAGGGAGAGTTAGAAAAAGAGAGAAAGAGAGTGTGTTGCTTGGTGAGCATGAAGGATGGATGATTACTAGAATTAGTGGGATGATCACACTGAAAGGTAAAAAAATATCCAATAGCTATATTGTACACCTGAAACTAATATAACCAATTCAAGATTGAACACCAACTATAGTGAAATAAGTAAAAAAGTAAAAAATGAAAACAAAAAAAAATCAAGCCCAAGTCATTCTAAAAGACCTTGGGAATTAAAAGTTAACATATCTTTTTAAAAAATATATAAACATATCTTTTAGTTCTCCCTTATTCCTTGCATTTTATAAGCTGCAAAACAGAGACTTGTTTTTTATACTGTTTTAGAAACACAAGATATATTCCTCAGTAATAATGATACCTAAATGCTGTGGTTTTTGCCATATTAAACAAAGCAATGCACATATTACTATATTTCAAGTAAGAAAATAGCCCATTTATCTATTTACATGATTAAAGTCTCAAGTAAAAATTATGCTTACTAATTATTTTCCTATTAATAACTAAAATATTCAAGAGCCATAGGTTGAAAATTAAATTAGTGTCATACATGTGATTCTTTTGATTCCCATTGACTGACTTTTCTACAATTCATTGTGTAAATGCATCTCTAGTGTGCTCTTTAAGTAAAATGTACATACATACATATTTAGAAAGATAATCAAAATGTTTTATATGGGAACTGTCCATTTATTTAGTTGATATTAATCACATAATCTTTTCCATAATTTTCTATTTTGAAATTTAAAAAACATAGTTCATCCAATACTGCCAGAAATTAGCCAAGGATCACCCATGTGTTTTATCATAGTGGTGACATCTGTTTATAAATTCATCTTCCCTGTGAAAATTTAGATTTTAACAAACAAATACTACACATGCATGTGTGTTTTACATAAATACATGGACAAAACAATTTGGAAAATCCATGTTAAGTAAAGTTAAATATGTTTCTTTGAAATAAGGTATTTTACTAGGAGAGGATTTTGAGTGTGCAGTAGGTGCATAGAATACACAGCCTTTCCAAATTGGAAGCTGACTCTTTTTTTCCTTGAACCAATAAAGCACTAGTGTTCCCTTGGAGCTTTCTTATTAAGAAATTCCATTAATCTTTTTGATGACTTTATTCAGTAGAAAAAACAATCAGGACCTTCTATTAATCTTTTCCACAACTTTATCCAGTAAAAAAACAATCAGTAGCTCATTAGCAACATGGTTAGAACTAATTTTTTGCAACTAATTTATCAATTCCAATAATAAAAATTTAATTTATATGCCATTAATGATGGTACTTGCAAGAAAAGATCATTCAGGACTCAAATCTGAAGTCGAACTAAAGGACATTCTTTTTATATTACCAAGGAGACCCAGAATTTGACTTTGAAATCATGCAACTATTTAATAACTATCAGACAAACATGTCTTTTACTCTTTTACTCCTTAAATTAAAAGAAATAAAACATACTATCCTTGTGCTTGAAATTTGATTTCTAGCAATTTGTTTTTAATTATATCAGTGGGTGTTCCAGAGTTCTCTCCTATTTCATTTTCTGATTACTGACTTTGAACTGAATAAGTCACTTGCCAGCATGAAAAGAGACATGTAAACAGTTGAGTAAATGGTGGCTTATTCATCTGGCACAATTACGCTTCTGTGTTTGTATGGTGCAATACCTGGACATCTATACAGCTTTCTTGCCTGTGCAATATCTCCTTTGCTTAAACGGGTCCGCTGACCGATTGCGGGACGGATGCCATTATCATCACGAGAAGGGAGAATAGTGTCCAGAAACATCCCCCTGAAAAAAATCAGAAGCAAGCCACACATAAGTCAACCCAATTAAGACACATATACTTCGTACAAGTATTAGGGGTTTTTTCAAACTCAAGTCAATCTACAGGGAAAAACATCAGTGATGTGCTTTAACCCATGTGTCAAAACACTTTTATTAAAGTAGAAATAAAATGTGTGCTAAATACAGGGTGTTCCCCCAAAAAGTATACACATTTTAATAGCTGATAGCTCAGTTGATGTTTCTTTCTTTTTCAGATTTAACCCATTGGAATTAACTTATTCAAACTGTGTATACATTTTTTGGAACACCCTGTACGTATGCCTAACATGGAGTCAGTGATGATATTTACATTTTCCTTAGAAATGTATATTACATGATTTTCGAAACCTAGATTCTATATAGTCCCCCCACTACATACACATGGCTTTTGTTTGGATCTCTCAAGCAGATCTAAGAACCCCTTGGATTACCAAGTTGTAAAACAAGTCTTCCTCGTGAAGCTATATTTCTTAAAGACAACCTACAATAAATATTTTTGAAGTTACTAAAATTGTAAAAGAGAAATAAAATACACACATATATTCGTGTGTGTGTGTGTGTATGTATGTGTGTAGGTTCATTTCTTAGTTAAACTACTAATTTAATATTAGTATTCTTCTAATTAAATCTTAGATTCTTCTAATCTTAGTATTCTTCCAAGTACTACAGTACATGTTAAAGAACAAGGAAAAACAAAGAGTGTCAAATTTTAGATAGAAGAGTATAAAGCAAAATAGTTCAATGATATACACACATACATACACATACATGTAGTATAAAATGTTTCATGTTAATGATAATCAACTAAGTAATGCCTTAATAATGGTAAGGCATGGCTACAGAGTTGTTTGTTCTCAAGGTTGTAATAGAAACTGACTATTTTTCTTAATATGCATAACTAAAAATTCTGACTCTAGTGCACTAAAAATACAGCCTAATTTTGCAATAGAAACCAACTTTATAGCTCTAAAGAAAGTTCAATGGACTGAGGGACTATTCTAAGTGGTGAGAAGAATAGAGTGTGTATTTAAGGATTTTTTTTTTAAAAAGAGAAACTATAAACTATAAAGGTATTTTATTTTATTTTAGTTTTAGTTTGGATATCATTAATTATGAAAGCTTTCAAAGTTCAGTGGAACGGGAAGCTTCCTATGATGCCATTTCAATAGTGATTTATTTCAGTTTACATACTTTCCAAGAATGTCAACATTTTTTTAAAACATGTTTTTATTGATTTCAGAGAGGAAGGGAAAGGGAGAGAGCGATAGAAACATCAATGATGAGAGAAAATCCTTGATAGTCTGCCTCCTGCATGCCCCACATTGGGGATCGAGCCCACAACTCAGGCATGTGCCCTGATTGGGAATCAAACCATGATCTCCTGGTTCACAGGTCCACGCTCAACCACTGAGCCATGCTGGCTGTGTTGTCACCATCTTTAAATAAGAAATAATCCTTGTTATCTGGAACTACTTTTCGATCCCCTGACTTTTTTTTTTTTTTAATAATTTTTTAAATATATTTTATTGATTTTTTACAGAGAGGAAGGGAGAGGGACAGAGAGTTAGAAACATCAATGAGAGAGAAACATCGATCAACTGCCTCCTGCACACTCCCTACTGGGGATGTGCCCGCAACCAAGGCACATGCCCTTGACCGGAATCGAACCTGGGACCCTTCAGTCCGCAGGCCGACGCTCTATCCACTGAGCCAAACCAGTTAGGGCCGATCCCCTGACTTTTCCTCCCTAAAGATAAAATCTAGGTCTCAGTCGTATTTTAGCTCCAGGCCCAGAAAAGCAGCAAAACCAGATAAGTGACACAGTGACTGCCTCAGGACCAGCTGCATTGACTAATTACCCCATCCTGGTGCCAACCAATCAGCAGAGACCATGTCCCTGAAAGAGCACACCTGCGAAGTTGATTAATATTGTATTGAGACCCTTCCCTGAGACCTCCCCTAAAATTACTGCCTGCAAGAGAGATAAATACCCTCAACACAAAGGACCCAGAATACCCTCAACAAAAAAGACCCAGTGTGTGCTCTCCCCCAAGGGAGCATGCTGCACCATTCCCTTTCCCACCCTTCTTCAAGGGACCCCATGAGACTTGCAACCAGGGGAGCAATGGGTAGCGGCAGCTCATCCCAGGCTAATCCTCTGAACTTGTCTCCAAGGCCCTCTTTTCTCTGACTCCCCAGTGAGGCTAAGGAGCCCAGGCTAGGCTCTCCTGTTGCTTCTCCTATGCCCTTCCTTATTTCACTGTCCTAAGTGTGTTTTTGCTGCAGCCAATACATTTTTACTTGCTTTGCTTGATGTAATTTGTCTCTTGATTGAAATCTTTCCTTCAAGAAGACAAAAACCAAGGTCTCATCGTCTCGCTGGTAACATAATGAACAAAATAAACTAATAAACAAAATAGAAACAGACTTATAGATAGGGTTCCAAGGCTGGGTAAAAAAGGTGAAGGGATTAAGCAAAAAATCAAAACAACGCAAAAAAAAAAACACACAAAAAAAAACCTCTTAGACACGCCTAATAGTTTGGTGATTACCAGAGAGAAAGGGGATTGGGAAGGTAGATGAGGGTATAGAGGTGATGGAAGGAAAGTTGATTTGGGGTGGTGAACACACAATACAATATACAGATGCCGTGTTATAGAATTGTATTCCTGAAACTTACATAATTTTATGAGATAATGTCACCCCAATAAATTTGATTAAAAAGTTTTAAAAATTTGCCCTATTTGGCTCAGTGGATAGAGCGTTGGCCTGCGGACTCAAGGGTCCCAGGTTCGATTCTGGTCGTGGGCATGTAACTTGGTTGCAGGCATTTACCCAGTGGGGAGTGTGCAGGAGGCAGCTGATCAATGTTTCTATCTCATTGATGTTTCTAACTCTCTGTCCCTCTCCCTTCCTCTCTGTAAAAAATTAATAAAATATATTTTTTAAAAAAAGTTTTAAAAATTTCAGTTCTACTTTTTCCTACCTTTAGGAAATATTTACTGAGAATTGTTATAGGTCTGGATTTACAGCAGTAAATAAAAGACACAAAAAATTCCTCCTCTTATAATGCTCACATTCTCATGGGAGGAGAAAGACATTAAATAAAAGAATGATAAACTGGGATAGTGACAGGTACAACAGAGAAAAACAAAGAAGAGTCTGAAAGTAATAAAACAGAAAAGTAACAGGAAGTATGAGTAATTTATGACTGAGCACCCTAGCGTCTAGGTTTAGGTAATGATCTTTAGGTAAAACTTAGATAACTCAAATAGAGAATGGAACTCAAAACCAAAGCTAAGTATCTACAGAGCTCCATATGTAAATTATCTAAGATGAAGGTAGGGAGGTGAAACTAGTAATTGTTGGTTATTGACCATTAAAAGTGAGAGCTTAGAGGAGAAACCAAGATGGCGCCATAGGTAAACACCTGAAATTGCTGCCTTGCACAACCACTTCAAAACTACAACTAAACACAAAACAGACATCACCCAGAACCATAGGAAGGCTGGCTGAGTGGAAATTCTACAACTAGAAGGAAATTCTACAACTGAGACTCAGAGGAGGTGCCGAAGTAAAGTGCAGAGGTACGGAGGCGCGCACGCGGAAAGGGTAGGCAATGGAGAACGTTGGTGTCTTTTTCAATCAGGAGGGAGTCTCAAGCTCCCGACTGCTCTGAACTCCAGTTCCAGGCAAGTCTCTGGGGACCCAGACTCAGATGGGGAGAAACTGGACTGTCTGGCAGCGGGCAGAACTCGAGGGTAGCTTTCTCAGAGGTGCTTGCAGAGATTACCGCGGGACACTGAGACCCGGGGGTCTCTTAAGGCAGGACTGAGGACCAGCCATAGCTGTTTGCTCCACTCTTTTGATTCCCTGAGACCCCGCCCCACCCAAGCTGCAAGCAGAGGCTTTTACATATGAATGGGCTGGCCCTTTGAGATCTAAAATTACCTAACAAACTGCAGCTGGGTTAGAGAGAACCAGAACATCCAAAAGAAGGCTCAAGGCCCCACAGCAGCTTGCATTGCTTCACAGCTGGGCCTCATCTGAGCACCTCCAAACCCCAAACAAGGAAGAGGAATCTGCAGATCTCTCCATAGCTCCTGCTGGGTAGCCTCAGGAAGAGGCTAAATTAGCACCTCCTTAGAGATCCAAGAGCCCGTGTACCTAGTGGTCAGAGTGGGACCATCCAGATTACAACTCCTCAGATCCATAAGGGACACACTCAGGGGGAAGCCTCAGTGAGCACCAAAGCCCCACTGAAGCAAGTCTTGCTCCATAAGGGTTGCTTCAGCACAGAAGTTCTCCCACTGTAGACACAGCTGATTCTCACAGCCAGTTGGCCTGGAGGTCAATTCCTCCCAGTGATGCCAACAACAATCAAGGCTTAACTGCAATAAGACTGTGCACACAGCCCACAAAGGGGTGCACCAAGAGTGTCCACCTCAGGTAATTGGGGAGGCTGAGCCACTGGGCCCTATAGGACACCTAGCACACAAAGCCACTCTATCAATACAGAGAAGCAGCCAAAATGTGGAGACAAAGAAACAGGTCACAAATGACAGAAATGGAGGAAAGCAAACTACTGGATATAGAGTTCAAAACCACGGTTATAAGGTTTTCAAGAAATTTCTAGAAACTGCTGATAAATTTAGTGAGACCCTCAAGGATATGAAAAAGGACCAACTAGAAATTAAGCATACACTGACTGAAATAAAGAATAATATACAGAAATCCAACAGCAGACAAGAGGATCCCAAGAATCAAGTCAAAGATTTGAAATACAAAGAAGCAAAAAACACCCAACCAGAAAAGCAAAAAGAAGAAAGAATCCAAAAATATGAAGATAGTGTAAGGAGCCTCTGGAACAACTTCAAGTGTACCAACATCCGAATTATAGGGGTGCCAGAAGAAGAGAGAGAGCAAGATATTGAAAACCTATTTGAAGAAATAATGACAGAAAACTTCCCCCACCTGGTCAAAGAAATAGACTTACAAGTCCAGGAAGCCCAGAGAACCCCAAACAAAAGGAATCCAAAGAGGACCACATCAAGACACATCATAATTAAAATGCCAAGGGCAAAAGACAAAGAGAGAATCTTAAAAGCAGCAAGAGAAAAAAAGTCAGTTACCTACAAGGGAGTACCCATATAATTGTCAGCTGATTTCTCAACAGAAACTATGCAGGCCGGAAGGGAGTGGCAAGAAATATTCAAAGTGATGAATAGCAAGAACCTACAACCAAGATTACTTTATCCAGCAAAGCTATCATTCAGAATTGAAGGTCAGATAAAGAGCTTCACTGATAAGAAAAAGCTAAAGGAGCTCATCACCACCAAACCAGTATTATATGAAATGCTGAAAGGTATCCTTTAAGAAGAAGAAGAAGAAGAAGAAGAAGGAGAAGAAGAAGAAGAAGAATAAGAAGAAGAAGAAGAAGATGAAGGGTAAAGATAAAAATTATGAACAACAATTACATATCTATCAACAAGTGAATCTAAAAATCAAGTGAATAAAAAATCTGATGAACAGAGTAAACTGGTGAATATAATAGAATCAGGGGCATTGAAAGGGAGTGGACTGACAATTCTCGGGGGGAAAGGGATGTGGGGTGTTGGGGAAGAGACTGGACAAAAATTGTACACCTATGGATGAGGACAGTGGGGGCAGGTAAGAGCAGAGGGTGGGGTGGGAACTGGGTGGAGGGAAGTTATGGGGGGAAAAAGAGGAACAACTGTAATAATCTGAACAATAAAGATTTATTAAAAAAAAAAAGTGAGAGCTTAAACATACTTAATAGGATGCAACTCCAGTGAGGCTAGTGCAATTGAAGGGGAAGTTGAGGCACAAGACAGCATTGAGAAAAGCCATTATTCAACTATGTTGCATGAATCAACAGATTATTAACTAGGTAAGCCCAAATTAATGAAATGTTACAATTTCTACAGTATTCAGAACTAATAATTCACTATTTTCAATTTCTGAAAACAGATTTGTAGCCTGAAAAGGTTTTTGTTGTTTTTTTCCAGTTTTCAAAAGAGAGTCAGCTTTAAAAGTACCAGGCCATCTTAAATTGTATGTATGCAAACCTAGACAATCCAGTGATGAACTTTGACTCATTCTGTCCACTGAGGTAACCTCCCTTTCATTGGGTTGGGGGTCAGTTACCATTCTTTTGTTCCTTCTTTGTGGTCAGGGAGTTAATAACTATCCTCTTGACACAGGCCCTTAAGCAATGAAGACTCTTCCTAAACACCTTCAGTAAGACACTATCAATAGACTAGAGCAGCCGTGGGCAAACTACGGCCCACGGGCCGGATCCAGCCCGTTTGAAATGAATAAAACTACAAAAAAAAAGACCATACCCTTTTATGTAATGATGTTTACTGTGATTTTATATTAGTTCACATAAACACTCCATCCATGCTTTTGTTCCGGCCCTCCGGTCCAGTTTAAGAACCCATTGTGGCCCTCAAGTCAAAAAGTTTGCCCACCCCTGGACTAGAGTCAGATCATTGAGGGCTTCACTTACTAACCTTCGTTTGTTTTACGTATAATGGAAGAGTAAATTAGCTATGCTTTTAAATAAGCTTCATAAAATTTTACAATTCTTTACTAATGGAAAATGGGCAGCCCCAGTTAAGCAAAAATCTATGTTACAAACTATTCATGCTTATATAAAAGCCCCTTATCTTTAGCCCCATCCTTCCCACAAGTAAGTACCTAAATCTGCTGATGGGCTATATTCATGAAAACAACTAAAAGTTTTATAGACTCTGTGGGTCAAAAATAGAAGAAACTATAAAACTTCAATTACTTACATGAATAGAATGAATAACAAATACCATATGTTCATCTAATTGATGCAGAAAAAGCATTTTACAGAAGTCAATACGCTTTCATGATAAAAAAAAAAAAAAATACACACTCAGCAAACTAGGGACAGAAGGAAAGTACCTCAACATCATAAAGACCATAGATGAAAGCCTATAGGATCATCATATTTAATGGTTGAAAACTGAAAGCTTTGCATTCAAGATGAGGAATAAGGCAAGCCTAATTGCTCACATCACCTCTATTCAACACGGTATTGGAAGTCCTAGCCAGAGCAATTAGGCAAGAAAAAGCAGGAAAAGGCATCCAAATCACAAAGAAAGTAGTAAAATCATCTGTTTGCTGATAGCAAATGTAAAAATATGTTTAAAAAATTCCAAATGTCTGGTGTTGGCTATAAATACCAATCAAGTATTTTTGTATTTTATGGCAGGAATGTATGAAAATGCTTCTAGTTCTAATGTTAGACATAGGTTTGTGAGAAGCCACACAGAGGAAAGGAATTAAAAGTCAAAAGGTATAACCTGAGACTCCAACCTTGAGAAGGTGTTCCTGGCATAGTGCATGATACTGTCAAAATCATATCTTTCTCCCAGGGAGTTCACTTCTCCAGGCTCCATCTTCAGAAAGTTGTACTCTTGACCTAAGAGGCAGGCACAAATAACATTTCAGAAGCTTTCTACCAGGCAGAGAAGAGAAGAGCTACTCCTGTGCCTGCACCTTCTCTTTACAAAGTGGCTAATCTTCATGCATACTGTAATTACATGCTAACACCCACATTGTGTAAAAGTATCCATCCAGTGTTGCTGTCTTACTTAATATCACATTGAAAGTGTAATACTGAATTCCATTAATAAGTTAATTTTGGAAAAAGAGTGGATTATCAAAAGGATACTTTGGGTCTGTTTTCTATGTATACTCTTCTGCATTCTCATATTTGTTTCTTTACAATTTTAAATGTGTTTTTTTTTCAGTACTGCAGAAGTGATTATAAAAAGTTACATCTTACTTAATGACTTTCCCACCTTTCTCTTATAACTAAAGTTGCCAAGACAGAAAAATTATCTTCCTATTTGCTTTATATTCTTTCTATGAGACACTGAAAAAAATATAAAAACAATATTTATAAGTGCCTACAACATGACGGACTTTAGCTATGTGATTTTGTTACTACAGGTAAAACAAATTTTTTTTTTCAAAATTAGAATAAGAATCTCTTTGATTAATCTATTCCAAGTTCCAACTGGAGAGCATTTTTGATTAGGAAGAATATGCTTCAAAAGAATAAGCCGTCTTGAATGCATATTCTAAAATGGATTAAAGCAATCAATCCTTATATCAATTTGCCTCTTATCATAGTCACTAATTTTGCATATAAATGCCAAGCTAAAGTCTGCACTTATTAGACATTGCCCTTGAATAACACTTAAGTTTCTGAGCCAAAGCAAGTCATAAATTTTTTGAAGATTAATCTCCAATATGAATTCTTACATACTAGAATTGCACTACTAATAGTTCCAAATACTCAGGAAATCTCACTTAATAAATTATGTTTTCTATTGGCCTGAATATAGAGTCAACAAAAGTACGAATACCATAGTCATATTTGCTTAACACTGTGTTAAGTATTATACATTACATACTATTTATACATTTCTTGCTTGTTTCAGGTACATATTTACATTGAAACAGAGTCTTATTTTAAGAGTAAACATCATTCTTGAAAGTTATTTCCTTTATAAGTTTTGTCTGCATAATAGAGGAAATTTAATAACTAAGGTTAACAGATAACTTCTCATTTAATTGGTAATTGAAATAATTTTCAGAAATATTATTTCCTTTTTATTTCTCACCTAAAGATATAAAGTATAATATGAACCTTGATAGCTAGTTTAGGCATTAGTCTTCTTTTTTGGGAGTATACATTTCTTTACTTGTCTTTGATATTCAACACTATAGATTATTTCATCAATCTTCAAATGATCTATTCTCTGAGGCTTCACAATTCATTAATTTTTTGCCTCTTAGACCAAACCTTCTTAGTTTTGTGGGAAATTTTCTACAAAATGTTACTTCATTTACTTACTTATGTATTTGTTTCTTTACTTACTTATTTATTTTCATTTATTGGGATGGCATTGGTTAACAGGATCAGATAGGTTTCATATATACACAAAATGTTGCTTTAAATATTGATGTCCCCATTTTCTATCCTCAATCATTTTCTTTTCCCTTCAGCGTTTCCAAACAGTCAGATTCCCTATCAAATTTCTATCATAGATATATATCTGAAAGTTTAGACTCATCTTCCCTTTGTCTACTAAAAATCTCAACTTGGATCACCCAAAGGCTTCTCAAATTCCAGGATATGCTCAATAAAATCATCATTTATTTTTCTCCCTCTCAAAAGTGTTGCCTTGTCCATATTTCTTATTTCATTTGATGGTGCCACTATTCATTCTGTCCCCTAAAAATAAAACCTTGAAGAGGTCTCCTCACATGATGATGCTCCTCTTAAAATATTTTGAAAGATTATTCCCTTTTATTTCTCTTGACCTGAGCTACTTAACTGAGGCCTTAGCTATATCATAAACTACTTATTTGTCTAATGAGTTTCCCTGACTTCAGGTTCATCTTCCCCACATCTATTTTCCCAATCTCAGTTAATGATCTCCAAAATGAGAGAATTATTTTTTTCTTTTTTAAATCTGAACCCAATCGGCTTTCAAACTTTCAATTATTCTCTAGGACTCAAAGTATAAATCTAAGTTCCCTAGCTTTAGATACTAGTAGACGATCCCTGCGATCGAACCTTCCTGGGTAATTACCAACCAATTTCCCACTTGTAACTTCCCATGCAGCCACAACAGGCAAGTAAAATGATTCCATTTTCTGTATTTGCATCTTTGATCATGATGTTTCTTCAGCTTAGAAACTCCATCCTTCTTCTGTCCACTTAGAACACTTCTACTTCACTTACAAGTTTTGGTTTCTTTGTGACATCCCCTTGAGTCTCCAAAGTACATTTTGTCACACCTTGCTTGGACTCCATGGTATTCTCAACACGACAATTGTTACCTTTCTCACTCGCTTGCAATCATTTGTATACGATACACTAAGCTGTGTGTTTTTCATCAGCATTTCCAACATCTACTAGTGCCTCAAGAAATAACTGTCACCAAATATGTAAGGAGTAAATAAATAGATCAATGCTGGTAATTACGGGGAATTCAAAGAATTCCATCGTTGTAATTCAAACTGGCCATGAATAAGTTTAAAAAGACACATTTTTTACTTTGTTTACACTTGAAATACATACTATCTCATAAGACAATTCCAAGCATTAAGATTTTTCTTTTGATAATTGAAATGTACGGATGTTTATGAAGTTAGGGGAATTAAAACAAACAAAAAGCTGTACACACATCAACTGTCGGAGAAAATTAAATTTAAATTATGTATTATATTTCAACTGCTGAAAACATTCTTAAATATTTGTCTTTCGGGCAGCCAGGTTTAAGAAAAATCTCAAGGAAACTAGACTATCCTGGGATGACTCATTTCACTGGAATTTCTCCAGAAGTTGTCCCTGATATAATATAGATTCCTATGGTAGCAGCACATTTGACAGTAAACTCCGGACTCTTCCTAAATCCATACAACATAAATATAGAGCTAAGTATATAAAATGCTTTAAAATCTTTAATAATATTTATGGTTTAATAACCTACACCCAGTTTTGGAAAACACAGAAATTTAGAAATAAAAGAGCTAAATAAAAGAAATTTAGAAATAAAAGAGCTAAGGGGGGGGGGGGGGAAGCAAGCCTAAAAAAAACATAAGATCATTTATTCTGAAGAAAATAGAACATCAGCATGGGTATTTTTTACTTAGGCGAAATATTAATATTAATTCTATCATATAAAAAAACAAAACAAAAACACAGTTTACATTTGTTAAGAAGTTAAATGATAAAAAGTACAAACACAGCCGAAGGAAACTCAGTCACCCTGAACCCCAATTCTCACCTGGCTGGATGTTTTCTCTTATGATGGTTACATGGTTATCTCGATCTGGTCGCGTGTGTTCATGCCAAAAGCCTATCACATGGCCCAGTTCATGAACAACAATTCCAAATTTATCACAGTTCTTGCCAATGGAGATTGCCTGAGGTCCGTTACCCCGCCGACCTACATAAGAGCAGCATCTGGAATAAAGAAGAAAGAGGAGATGGTGGTGGAAAGGGCAATGCTGGATGAATTAAAATATGGTCAACTTTTGTTAAGAATTGTGATGAACTATAAAGTCCAACACAGTCAGAGGCAGAATAACCTTTTATTAATAATTAGAGGCCCGTGCATGAAATTCGTGCACGTGTGTGTGTGTGTAGGGGGGGGGGGGGCGGGGGGCAGGGTCAGCCCAGCCTGCACCCTCTCCAATCTGGGACCCATCAAGGGATGTCCAACTGCCAGTTTAGGCCTGATCCTGAGATCAGGCCTAAACCGGCAGTCAGACATCCCTCTCACAATCTGGGACTGCTGGCTCCCAACTGCTCGCCTGCCTGCCTGCCTGATTGCCCCTAACTCAGTGGTTCTCAACCTTCTGGCCCTTGAAATACAGTTCCTCATGTTGTTACCCAACCATAAAATTATTTTTGTTGCTACTTCATAACTGTAATGTTGCTACTGTTATTAATCGTAATGTAAATATCTGTTATGCAGGATGGTCTTAGGCGACCCCTGTGAAAGGGTCATTCGACTGCCAAAGGGGTCGTGACCCACAGGTTGAGAACCGCTGCCCTAACTGCTTCTGCCTGCCAGCCTTATCACCCCCTAACTGCTCCCCTGCTGGCCCAGTCTCACCCAACTGGCCTCCCCTGCTGGCCATCTTGTGGCTGTGGGCATCACCATCTTTGAGGGCGTGGCAGCCAATTAGTATATTCCCTCCTTATTGGTTGTGGATACCACCATCTTTGAGGGTGGGGCAGTCAATTAGCATATTCCTTCCTTATTGGTGGTGGGTGCTGCCATCTTTGAGGGCATGGCAAACAATTAGCATATTCCCTCCTTATTGGCTGTGGGCGTCGCCATCTTTGCAACAGCATGAGGGTCAATTAGCATATTTCCTCTTTATTAGATAGGATTATGGCTAATTTCTAGTACCATAGTTAATTTTTATACAACAAAAGTCTCTAAACAAATCACTTGAAGTTCTCTTATACTAACTCATATATTAGACATATGTCTTAAATCATTTTTAGAAGATGAATTAGAAAATAAAATACAAATGTTGATTAATGTGTTACTGTACATATAGTTAAATGCAAGACTTAACTGACATTTATTTCTAATATAATTTTTTATCCTCACTATCCATTATTATATTAATTTGTTAATACTGGTATCTGACAATAATCTAATATTTCAGTATTAAATATAAAAACAAAGTTTATTTTTCCTCTTTAGGAAAAACAGAATTAAATTTATTTATGAAAGATGTTGGTTAATAAAAAAAAAAGAAGCATTTTTCCTACTTATAAAATAACTTTTTTAAGAAGAAATTTTTAAAAGAAGTCAATTGAGGAAAATTAGTTTCGAAGGTGAGTTATCTAAGGTTAATGGTTCACTTGGGGAGAAAAAACTGACAGCTGGTAGAATTATGAGACTTATGAGATTGTGTCAAATGGTCAGCAGTTACGTAAGTGTGACATTCTATTTCACCTTCTGAAAGAATCTCCTGAGCTATCCAGGGCATCTTCCTGCAAGTTTTCTTCAACTTATTGGTATTTATAGACTTCAATGATGTTTCCCTACCTTAAATATAGAAGTTCCATTTATTCATTTGTGTGTGTGTCTGTGTGTGCACACATGCATGTGCATGAGAGTGCATGAGTGTACACACGTGTAAGGGTGGGAACACAGGAATATCCACTTTAAAATAAGTTTTAAATGGTATAATAATATAGCAACTACAATTATATAAAACTTTATTATTTACATAAATAATATTTAAAGCTTTGATCATTAGGATTTATATTAAAATAGCTTATCTATAGGACCACCCTTCTAGACAGCAATAGAGGGCAATAAATAATTGGCATTGAATAGTTGGCAATCATGATGGATCAGACACCAAACACTTGTTCTAATTTATTAAACTGGAAGAGAAAATTGTCAAAAATTAATTGCCCAAATGATTAAAAAGAATTTCACTAATTTCAATTTCCAGAGTAAGTACATTTGATAGTCATTTTGATTGTTCATAAATACAAACATTTGTCATTCTCATGGTTTCTGTGGGTATTTAAATGCCTAAATATTTTAACCTACACCTTGCCAGTTACATGAATTAATTTGACTTATTATTTATGAATCTATTATAACAGTTAATTAAACTTAATAAATCAATAATAGAAAGAGAAAACTGGCAGAGAAACAAGCAGGGAATTGTGTTTCTGCTCCCTGGTAGTTTTGTTTCAATAGTATGTTGTAATCCATACATAGAGTTATTTAGTACATACCCAATAATAAAATATTAGATGTAAAAACCCCACAAAATGTATAGATTTTGGAGAGATTTAAATATTTGCTGCCATATAGCAATAGTGACAAAAAATGAAATACCTGATAATTAGGTAGTAACTAAATTAACCACACTGAGTCATTTTTGCTGGTCACAATCACAGAAGAAATTACTTTGCAAACCAAAATCTGGGAGATAATCAAGAAGAAGGGTCCATTTATTTAATGTCAAACACCTTTTGTAGTGTACTTTAGCCCATAGACCTCTCCAATAAATAAGATGGGGTCCATATGGGAAGCAAAAATACATTTCACATTGACTTTTACAATGGTCCTGTGAAAGTAGAAAAATGTGGTAATATGACCCCTGACATATTTATTATAAATTTATAAATTGCCTCAGCTGACTAATACAGGCTCTTTCTTTTACTTAGAGGAAAGTCTAAAGTACTTACAAAAACTCTAAGATCCTACATGATCTTCCCACACAAATGTCTTACCATCTCCTCTCTTTCTACTGTCCTGTCACTCACTCCGCTCAGCCATACGGCCCTGCTGTGCCGTGAGCCTGTAGACGCGCTCTCGCTCACAGCCTTGTGGCGGCCTACTCCCTCTGGCAGGAACTCTGCTCTCCCCTACATGCATATGTCTCACTTCCTCATGGCTTTCAGGTCTTTGCACAAATGCCCTTCTGTCCTACATACATCGCTTTACTTTTTGTCCTAGAAGGTAGTGTTTATTAATACACTTTATATTTCACTTATTTCTGTGTTTCTGCTTCCTCACCCTAGAATGTGAGTAAGCTCTCTGTGGGCCCACCATTTAACAGCTTTGTTCACTGCTGTATCTGTGGCCCCTAGAATACAGCTCAACATAGTAGAGCTCAACAGATACAGAGAACAGATTGGTAGTTACCAGAGGAAGGGGCTGGGGGTGAGAGAAATGGGCAAAGGGGGTGAAATGGTACAAACTTTCAGTTATCAGTTCTGAGGCTGTACAGTACTTTCCTTCAATACCCCTTTAAATTCTTACATTCTTTTATTTTGAGTTACACACAATGTACTTTAGCTAACATGTAAGTGGTCAGTATTTTCTAGGTCCCTAGTTGTAAAGCAGTGCTGGGTGTCGAGGGACATGGAGATCAGCTAGCTGCCCTCATCACTGATGATGGCCGACAGGGGAACGGACAGCAGAAATGTAACTATGAGAGCAGTGGATAAAACAAAGCCCCTCTGTGGGCAGCTCAGAAATGACTGAGAATGAAATATGTGAAGGATACCCACTGTTGGAAAATGAAAGCAAAGGCATTCCAAGCAACTAACATACCACGAGCAAAAATATGAAGAAATGATAATGAATGGGGGAAAGTAGTTTAGCAGGATCAAACAAGTGAAATGTAAAACTTTGAAAAGAGCCAAATGAATGAAAGAAAATGAGTATGAATTTGTTACAAACAGAAATTAAGCAATAAAATAACAAGTGATCCATGCTTTGGATGTATTTGCTTTACAAAATTGAAGGGTGGGAAAGAAGAAAGATCTGACTGAACACATTATGTGTTTAGAAATATGTAAGCTGAGTTACATCCTTTTTTATTAAATAACCAGAAGGAAGGACAGTCCAGATTTAGACCTTTTAAATATTAAATAGATATAAAAACTAGGAAGCATTTCAAAAGTAACCAAACCTCATCAAGTTAAAATTAGAGTAACTTAAAAGAAAACATCACTTGAATAAGTCATAACTAAAAAACTATGGTGCTATCAAAAAATATATAGAAAATAAATAATGTATCATTTTTCTTAATGTCACTCAGGGCCGAAATAAAATCCATCAGTTTTAAGTTAAATGATCTAGGAAAATATGATAGCACAAAGCCAAATGACAATCCTCCCCCGCCATATTTCATGAAATATACTCCCCCCGCAAAACAAACAAACAAACATACAATAACAACAACAAAAAACATCATTAGGTCAAGAACTATTTCCTCCAAACAAATGAAGCATTTATTTTTATTTCCCTGTATAAAGTACACCAGAGGGCATCCAAATAGATATAAGTGATTAGAGAAACTTCCTCTTTATAGAAGAATTTGAGCTAATCAATGTAGGAAGGATAAGAAAAGAACACCATTAGGAAAATCACTATAGGAAAATCACTATTTTGCAATGATGGGAACTTTTATGGTGGCAGGATGTGGCTGTCACCATTTGAATCTATTGATGCATTTAAGAAAAAATCTTTATTGTTGAAAGTATTATACCAGGTACATGTGCCCCCCCCCACCCCCCCTCCATTGACCTCTTCTAGGCTGCCCCTGTCCCCGAAGCCTGGCCTTCACCACACTATTGTCTGTGTCCATGAGTTATGCACATATGCATACAAGTTCACTGGTTTATCTTTTCCCACCCACCCAACCTTCCCTGCCTTCCCTCTTAGGTTCCAGTCTGTTCCATGCCTGGCAGGTCCAGGCGCCTGTGCCTCCTGATGTGATGCAGTGCAGACAGCACATCCTGCCCCCTGCCAAGTATTCTTAGCAAGCAAGCAAACCAAAATTCGAGCTGAATTTACATATGTTAATGTAAGTTCCAATGAATACAGGGAAGAAGAGTTTGAAAACTTCCTCAATCAGAAGCCTTTTACAGTGTACCGCATTGCTGCAAGAACGGCTATACTGCAACTTGGCTAGATGATGGGATTTGTGGAGAGACGTGGTGACCGAAGAGGCTTCCGAGGGAAGCTGTGGTAAGTTCACAGCATTCCTTAAATGTTATACCAAGGAATGTGGAGTTTCTTCTCAGACTAGCACTTCCCAAAATGTGCTCCGAGACACTGGTGTGTGATTGTCACTTTTAAAAGGGTGAAATGGGTGCTCCTTTCTTAAAGTAAGTTTATTTATTTATTTTTTTAAAGTAAGTTTAGAGGAGCCTGTTCTTCTCCATTCCTTTCCATCGGATGAATAGTAGCAATGTTCATCAGCACACTGCTACAGAAATGGCTATCAAAATTTCATACAGCGTTTCCACAAATTACAGGTGAGTTGTTTTGGAGAGAGTTTTTATCATCATCCTGTAAGAAGCAAGTCTAGAAAAGAATCTCATAAAAGTGTGGTCTCTTGCTGTGACCGGCATTTTGTGAAGATAACTCTAGTGGCAGTGACTTGGTGAGGCAACGCAGGAGAGCAGCTGGGATGGATCAGGTGTGAGATGGCCAAGGCATGAATGGACCAGGGCACTGACGGAGCACAGAAGCGGAAACCAAAAGACAGAGTGAACACCAGGGGAAACTTAATGGCTTGTGGAGGAAGCACAATAGAATCACTAGATGCTGCTGCTGACGTTCCTAGCTCAGGTGCGTGGGACACAGGCACTGCCACGCCAGAACACAAGGAAGAGCAGCTGGGGTCACGGAGGAATGCACTTGAGATTCATGCACGAAGGTCAGTGATCAAAGAATATATTTACTTAGAATATATTAGGAAATGAATCCTGCCTGTGGATTTTTCCCCCTTCCAGTTGACTGAAGTCATCCTTGGTCCTACTCACCCACAAGGCCTGTATGTGAATACAATGTAACTCTCTTCATCACTTCTTTCAATGAAAGTCACGCATGTGTGCTTCTCCCAGTGCCTCATGGCCTGCTTGAACATGGCTCGCTGGCTGCCTGGAAAAATGCCATGACATTAACAAACAGTGTCTGCCCCAGAGAGGGCTGCCGCATGCGGACTCCCCTGTCCCGAGTCTGGCCAAGCAGTTCAGACACCACCACTATCATCCACCAAAGGGCACCAGCCTGGGGCGCCACAAGTGAGCCATTGTTAAGGATGGACACTCACCTTATAATCAGAAGGTTCAAGCTTACTATCTCTACAAGTATGTGTGGACAGGGCCCTGGGAACGGGACATACCTGTTTCCTGTCAGTTGAAGAGAAACCAGCTTCCAGATTTAATGGACACATTTGAAACTTGGTTTAAAAGCCAGGACAGTGCCTGAGACTCTTACAACTCAAGGCTCAAAAAATTTTTCAATTACAAAACATTCTAAACGAACAACTGAGGGAGGGGAGCATTTCTCAAGTTTGGTTTAATACTACATTTTATAGATTAATATTCTATAAAAATGTCCCCTTTAGCTGTATGATAACTATTACTTCTTTACCACAATAGGCGTGTGGGGGAGTATCTTACCAGTGAAGTTGCCTCCTATAACGTAAGGAATAACGCCTCCGGGCCATATTCTGTCTGTTCTTGACGTAGCAGCCCTCGGAACTCGATTTTTCTCATTCTGCCCTGAGAATTTTAGAGGCACTTTCCCCTTAACTGTGCTGTTTTGCTCCAAGCCTGCAGTGACATTTAAAAGATGCTGTGAAACAAGTCCTCGGGCAGGGAGTCATTTACCCCTTAGAGGACAAAAGTTAAAATGTCTTATTTACATATTTGCGTAAGTACTAGTACGTGTGAAGTCATGCACTAAAGACAAGCTTCATGTATACTACGTACTTGAAGAAAGTACTAAAAGATTTTAAGTGTATCACATTGAGTCTATTTCTAATTGCTCTATGAGCAGATTCTAATGAATTTTTATACAATAGCCTACAGTGGGTAGAAGTCAGGCAAACTTTGCAGGCCTCAGAAAAATTCTTTTATGTAAGTATTCTACTTTAGTAGACCACTAGGAAATTCACCACCAATATAAAAGACATTGTTCAAAGAGTTCTATGATATTCAAAACTATTCCTGCTAAATCCTTAATCATTTTTTAGCATTGATATTCTATAGGACAGATTAAAATTATGAATATTACATTAGAGAGAAAGTGAAGGAAATAACGTTAAGACAGATAAGGGCTCCGCCTCCTGGGACAATGGCTAGCTCCATCCCAATTTCCCGTGGACTCATACCCAGGTACACAGCAACATCGATGCACAGTGAATAGGTCAACATAAAATGCAGTGGATCCTGGAGCATCTTTCAAATCTGTAGTCGTTAATGTGTCTTGGTGGCCTTTCATAAATGTTTGCTACTAAATTTGCAGAATTATTTTTTCTTATTCATCTATCACTGCCAACACAAATATCCTATGGCCAGTAGACACTTCAGACACAATAAATATTGACTATATGCCCTATGCCATGTCCCTAATGTATTTTTTTTAATTTTATTTTCCAATTATAGTTTACATTCAATATTATTTTGTTTTAGTTTCAGGTGTACAGCATGTCTCTTTAATGCCCTGGAGCAAATCATCTTTGCTTGGAAAAATTAAACCATCAATTTAAGGGGTTAGACCAGGGGTGGGCAAACTTTTTGACTCGAGGGCCACAATGGGCTCTTAAACTGGACCAGAGGGCCGGAACAAAAGCATGGATGGAGTGTTTGTGTGAACTAATATAAATTCAAAGTAAACATCATTACATAAAAGGGTACAGTCTTTTCTTTTTTTTTAGTTTTATTCATTTCAAATGGGCTGGATCTGGCCCGCGGGCCGTAGTTTGCCCACGGCTGGGTTAGAATATGAAATTTGAACATTCTTTAAAAAAAAAAAAAACAACCCAACTCAAATCTACAAATAGGGGCTCATAAATTCAATACTATAAATATTAACTAATTATGAATCCAGGGGGCAGTTTTTCTAAATGTGTTTTTGGAAGGGTCAAAAAAAAAATTCAGCTACTCTTTAAATCTAATAAACGTTTGTCGATTTAAGTGAATTTTATTTCAAGCAGCCAGGATATTTTTCATTTGATTAAAACTGATGTAGTTCCATGGTTAATAAAACACCGTGGTGTGATACTCCATTTACTAGAAATACATATTAACAATAATATAAATACCTAATGCGTTTTTAAATAAGGAGAAGCTGAAAATAAGTTAACAAAACATTGCAATTGTCCCCCATTAAGTTCTAAAGGACTTACATCAAATATCAACTAACAATAAAAATAAGGGACTCTTTCTTAGCATATATCCTTCACATACTTTGTATCATAATGGCAAACTGAACTGCTACGAGTATAATATTTACTGTACATCAAGTCAAGCGTCTGCAACTTTAAACATTGATATACCAGAGCCAATTCTTCTTATCCTGTCTATAAGTTGGTAGAGGGCCCCTCGTTTCTTTGACATACCATGGTCTCCATATCCACCTTAAAAATAAAAATAAAATTGTTAAATCAAACACTGTATTTTGAAGCTCTTGTAAATAAACAATAGTAATAGGCTACACTAATGTCTCTTGTGACATCCTTTTTTAATGTGGTCTTAGAAAGTTAAAGGCATGAATACCCATAAATCTTAGGCGAGGAGAACATTACACATTAGCAGATTTTGGTAACTAAAACTAAGGCTGTGAGGGGAGGTCCAGAGAGCACTCTCCATGACTTTATTTGGACATCACGGAAACTGAGTCACCTACTGGTAATTTGAAACATTTTTCTTCGCTGTGGCAATGACATCACATGGGATGACAGCAAGTTGTTCTGCCCTGTTGCCTGCATCCTAGCTATTTCCCCAATGCAAACTGAACATTTGCAGACGCCAAATCAGCAAATGGAAATAAAAACAGTAGAGAAAACGGAGAGAGTGAATTTTGTTCCCAAGTTATGATCAAATTTACAAAAATAGATGTAAGTAATTTTATAACTTAAAAGGCAGAAGCAAGGGTCAAAAAAAGGAAATATGTTTTCTTGCAATTTTAACAACAAAGATTAGAATAGGTAGATTCCTGTCAGAAGTCAGAAAACAGATTATTTTAGGAAAATCAAGTCCTCTTATTCTAGGGTTTTAATAAAAATGCTCTCTCAACTTTACCACCTAGTTTCCCTTCTTGAATTTTTAATAGACAAATTACAAAGAGGTATCATTGAGCAAACAACCAATATGATCACAAATGATATCAGAACAAGTGCAAACGAACTCATACCACGAACTCATGAGTCTCTTTGGGCTAAAACAGTGAAAGAGGACCAGAAGTTCATAAAAACAGCAATCTGGACTTTGGACTCTTGCCTCTCACTATCTGTTTTTCTCCCTTTGAAATTAACACTGTAACTTAATGAGCTAGATTGAAGCTATTAACAAAATAATAAAAATTATTACCATGTAAGCACCTTCTCAAAAATCAATTAGGTCCTTATAAGGTAAACATGTCAGAGTGCTTGTTCACAGTCTAAGATTCTGTTTAATTATCTGCATTACATGGTCACATTTTTGCTGTGCCCCTTGAGAAAAATGTTTGAAATTTTTTTCATTGAACATTTTAGAGAGATGAGATAATACTTAAACATGTTCATTCCTAAACAGTTACAAGAAACATTTTTAAAGGATGGCATCTATATGTTTAAAGTGACCATTATGTAACAATTATGTTTCATATTCTATAGGACTGAAACAGATTGTGAGAAATAAATGTCTTAGTATTAAAGTAATTAGGATTAGAGTGATTTTAGACTTGACAAATAAAATGTTTCAAGGCTATCAAAGAGAATAATGTTTTTATATTTAGGATTTTTGAATAATTTTTATAGGCATGGAAATAAAATTCTATCTAGATAGTTCACTGGAATAGAAAAAAAAAGAAAATGAATGAAATAGGTGGTTATTTCTCACATATTCCAAAGACAAAATGAAAATATTCAAACTAAATAAATATTTATGGGAACGACCATATATTTTGAAATTAGGAAATAAGAAATAGAATCAATTCAACAAAAACTAAAAAGAAAGGAAAAAGATAAAGTAAAAAATAAAACAGAATACTTTTACATTGAAATGTAACGGAATAATGCAAACTACTTTCAAACACGTACCTTTCACATATTCATTTAGACTATGTTGTTTTTATGATTGAGAGTATAACCTGTTTTATGCTATTTACCTAAAATAATGATAATTTTTCCCAACTATTACTATTTCAGAGCTTAACTATAAATGAAATGACAAAATTAAATAGTATTACCATTTTTTAAATCACAGAAAATGAATGCTCCCAATATGAAGAGAGACAATGGGTTAAAGAAATGACCTGACCAAAGTGGAAGCTAACAAAAGTTTATGTAAGGAATGAAATGTAACATGATAAATCAAGGATTTGCTGAGTTGTTTCACTGCTCTCTTGTCCAAATCCATTGTCTCTGTGGCCCGGTTAAGTGTGAGATAGCAACTGGAGAGTTGTCAATACAAGTGTCCTGCAGGAACGTACTGTCTGTGAGCACACTGCAATGTAGTGTTCCTCCTATGTTTGGGATATGTTTCTGAACCTACACATAAGAAAGGTTCGGGCATACAATTCTTAAAGTACTATGCATTATCATTTTAAATAAATCTGTAAGTTGTGTTATGATATAAATTTCATATATGCGATAGTGGTATTTTGATTATATACGATAATACCTTTATTTTTAAGAAGTGAATGCTAATCTACTTAATATAAAAATGCTATGTAGTTTGCAATTAATTTCAAAATGTTTTATGCATGCTTATGCATGTATACATGCACATACACACAGATCAAATATGATAAATGTAACCATTATTGAATCTTTAAGTGGGAATACCATTGTAGTGGTGCCTCTTACACTATCCTATCAACTTTTCCAAATTTGGCATAATCAAAAAGTGCAAAAAAAATCAAATTGGACAGAGATATTAATTCACAGTAAAAAGTCTTAAGCCAAGTTTTTGTCTGCTGGATACCACAAATAAAGTATATATTTTATTTTCCATAGAACAGAAGAAAATAAAAATAGTACTGGGTTTGAGGGGAGATTCAATGAGATCAAAAAGCACTACACTGAGTGAATTTTTTAGTTATAGCTACAAAAAGAATTTTTAAAGTTGCAAATGGTCTCCAAAATATAATACAGAATAAAAATCATATCAAGATAATATGAACAATTTTCAAATTTTAATAAAAATATTTTAAAATGAGAACTCAAACAACCTTTTAAATATTACAAGTCTCATATAGGCACAATTCAAGCATGTCAAACAACTATAATTAAAATTGTCTTCTGGGTTTTCATAAACATTATATTAAAAGATAGATGAATTTTTCTAACTAAGTCTGTGTATAATTACTCTATGAATACTTTACATTTTGCAACTCAATATTTGCAACTGGAAATGGGAGGCAACTGAATATAATGCTCAAGAGTGAGATTTGGCCTTCCTCGGAACTGAATTTTGGTCCTGACTCAGACACTTCTTGGCTGTGTGACAATAGGCAAACTATATAACCTTCTACACCTCAGTCTCCACATTTGTAAATCACGATTACTTTAGTATCTCCCCTCTTGGGGTTCTTAGGAGGATTCAAAGAGTTAATATCTCCAAAGCACTTAAACACCACAACCTGTTGGTTAAATAAATTAACTAATGAAATAAAAACTGTGAGCAAATCTTTAATTTCTAAATAGGCTCATTTGTGTCCAGGAAATCAAAGTTGTTCAGAGAGACATTATAGCATTTAAAGAGTATATATAAATTGAAACCGATACAACCGTACCTGTGGTATGTCCAAGTTTTCCAAAGGGGTTCTGGGTAAGGTCAATTGTTCTATCAATTTGAAAGATATTTAAGTCTTCATCATCTAAGGCAATATCACCCCAAAACACAGCTAAGAAAAAAAAGAAAAGTTCAATTAAAGTGTAAAATATTTAAAAGCAAAATCAATGCAAACAAGGCTCATTAAAAGATCAGCATAAGCCTCCTTATTGATTTGAGTCCAAAATTAACCAATCACTAAGTACTATCAGAAATCAACATATAATAACTTTAGGAAACCACAAACTTAAGAGAAATAATAAATTAATCATGAGTTAGTAAAATATGGACAAATGCCTTGAAAGTTCTAGGATACTTGTTTTTTGATATAAGTTTACAAATTTTTCTTTTTAAAATTTTGCTTTAGATTTTTCTTCTACAAAACCAAAAGTAAGGCAACACATGAAAAATTTAGGAAGTGACAAAATCCATGCTTTTCAAATCACTGTCCTTTACTGGATTCAGACTGTAATACTTATGAATTTTAGCTATAAAATGCTAGCTAATAAAATTAGTTATTTTGTGAAATTTTAAACTTTAATCCTGAAAGTTATACAATGCGTTAGGCTTTGATCAAAGGTTTAACATATAAAATTATTTACCCAGTTTAGTTCCCTCATAAAAATACTGATATGCGATAAGGGGTTAGGTTTATGTGCAAATCCAGAAAGGAAGAAAATAAAAATTAGTTCAATGTAGTTTATCAGTGCAACATACAGAAACATTTTTATTAGAATTAGAATTCTCTCGTTAACCCCTCTCTCCTGCTCTCATGTCAATGGATGGCAGCCCGTTGAAGTAAAGAGATGTTTGCTATCCTTTACCATCATAGAAACAAAGTAATGAAAAGTCTGTAAAACAGTTTATAGCCCTGGCTAAGCGGTCGCTCTTGATACCTAAAATTGAATCCAGATTCTAATCAGTTTCACTCACAGGCAACAGAAACCTCTGATGCTCTACTTCCCCTAAAGCCAGACATCCCAGGAAATAGCGGCCTGCCTAAATAAAATATTTTGTTATATAAAAGGCTTGTTAGTTTTCATAAAAGTAAATTTTGCATTGTCTTTTTTCTTCTTCAAGATTTCACCCCACTTTAAAGTAAATCCAAATTTGGTAATTATTTAAATCTTCCATCACATGTATTTATTATACAAATTGTTGTGGGCACTGACTGGCAGTGACTCTCAGCCTGGCTTGCTTCCTTAGTGCTGGCGGGGGGGCAGCTAGAGACACTAATGCTTCTCTAGCATTATTTGCATAGGAATCACAGTGGACTTGGTTAAAATGCAAGCTCTGATTTAGCTGGTCTGGAGAGAGGCCTCAAACCCTACATTTTTAATAAGCTCCCATTAGTAAAAATAACTATCATTATCATCATCTATATTATTAGTATTTTTTTTCCTGCAAGAATAAACTTTTCCTTTCTTCTGAAGCAGCTGGTTGACTTGAAAGCTGAGGCATTCAACCAAACAAAACACAGTTTGTCAGTACTACATTTATATAATAAAAGTAGTATGGTAAAATAAAACTCAAATGTGTTTTAGATTTTTATTTTCTTGTAATGACTTTTCACGTGCAATACGATTCATGTCTTGATGGATTATATCAAACAGAGATCAGCAGTCCAAGGATACAATACTTCACAGAAGCAAAAACATTACTTCTGGGGAGACGAAAAGGCACAAGGCCAGACAACCCTTAAGAGGAGACAAAACTTTTCTGGCGCACAGAAGTTCATTTCTTATTTGTCATTTTTTCCAAACTAATAGCTTCAGAAGAGTTAGGTGGTGCTCAATATGCCAAGAATCGCTTCAGGAGAAAACCAAATATTTCTTTGAAAACAAGTAGCCGTGAGCGACTACGCCAGTTCATTTACGTGTAAACTTGATAGCCTGTAAGTCTTATCGATCTTTAAAATTTGGTATGATCAATAGAAAAAAATAGACATGTTGGAATTTTCAATCTAATACAAATTTTTTAAATTGATTTGAGAGAGCAAGAGGGAAGGAGAGGAAGAAAGAAAGGAAGGAAGGAAGGAAAGGAGGGAGGGAGGGAGGGAGGGAGGGAGGGAGGGAGGGAGGGAGGAAGGAAGGAAGGAAGGAAGGAAGGAAGGAAGGAAGGAAGGAAGGAAGGAAGGAAGGAAGGGAAAGAAACCCCAATTTGTTGTTCCACTTATTTATGCATTCATTGCTGATTCTTGTATGTGTCCTGATTGGGATCCAACCTGCAACCTTGGCATATCGGGACAATGCTCTAACCAACTGAGCTACCCAGCCCGGGCAGCTATCACATAGATTAAAATGCACAATTCCTTTCTTTATATTTCACACATTTAAAGTTTTTCTTAAGGTGTCCTATTTCATCATGCTAAAATATCTTACTTAGCATTGGTATACTGGATCAAGACAATTTATATTAATGTGGATTTAGAATTTGCATTATAATCTAATATATATTTGCTATTTAGCTCCAAAATATTTGTAATTCTCAAGTGCACTTTGGAGTTTTCTGTTTTTTTTTTTTTCCTACGGGGTATTTTCTATTTATTTTGCATTAAAAAACAAAACTAGAGAGAAACTTTTAAAACTATGAATTATCACTCCTGTGCTCCATTTAACATAGTGATTTGAGGCTAGTGATAGCAGAAGTTGAAGCAATATAGGAAACCGGTTATAGATGACGACACTAGGGAAGGGCCCAAGTGCAATTATAATATTTCCTATCTGGAATTCTGCTTGGATTCCTATGGTCAAAAATGGGTTGAGAGCTAACCAGTAATTCAAAATAAAATGTCAAAAAGAACAATTTTTAAACTACATGGAAAACCACAGGTTTTGTTTTTCTCCTGAAGACTATTTGCATTCATCGTACTACAAAAAAATTTTTAATCGGAGACCAAGAAAGACAAAATAAACACATTTTAGAAAAGAGTGTTTGTGAGAATAAGTAGTCCAACATTGTGGTTCCCTACACCCTAATGTGAGAATACGTAGTCCAACATTGTGGTTCCCTACACCCTAATATGAGAATACATAGTCCAACATTGTGGTTCCCTACACCCTAACTTCACATCGTGTCTGTTCCACTCACTTCCAGATCCCCCAGCGATCCTCCGCCCTGCAGTTTTGAAGCTGGGGTCCAGGGACCAGCTTCAAGGAGGCTTCCAATCTGTGATTTCCTAAAAGCTGTCTGCAAAACATATGCATGAGTTTATAAACACAGTCACCACATGTTCTGCAGGGGAAAGGTCACCGGTGGATCACACAAAGAACCACTACTGCTGTCAAAAGCAGAGCCTTTCAGTCGACTCAGGAGAAAATACTTGCAAACTAAATACCCTCAAGAAGATGAATATATTTACTTGAATGAATGCTAAGACATCTGATAGCTGATTACTGCTTGAGAGCACCTCTAATAGACGAGTGGCTAAGAGCCTCCTCAGGCAGCAGCTACAGAAAGCCCTCCCGGCAACCTGGTGTTCCCGACTAACCATTAGGTGTCTCATCGTTTCCATGTCCTGCCTGCACTTCTCTCAGAAATAAAGCAACACACGGGCTTTCATAATATGTTTTCAACCATCTGATTCCTCAATCTCAATTTAAAAACACTGACCGCAGGAAGCATGTGCTGCTCACCAGTAACCCTCACTGCCAGAGGGCCTGGCCGAAGGTAGGACCTCAATGTGTGTCCGAAGGCACAAAGAACATGTCAATAAGAAATGCCACGGGATGGGGGATGCATTGTGTACAGCAAAAGGGAAGGTGGCTGTGCTACATACTTCACAAATTTACCTTAAGACCCAAAATACTAGATATTCAACCATTCCGAAGAAGGAGTATTTCAAATTCTTCCAATCTAAAATGGATTAATTGTTTCATAAAAAACAATCAAAAGGCAGCTGCCTTCGTCGTTATTTCAGTAGTACATATTAAGTGTAGTTATGGGAAATGTGTCCCCTTTTCTTGAAGCCCCACACGGATACGCTCAGAAAATGCATGACTGAACTAAACAGATCAGATATCATGAGATTTATGGGATTTGGAGAGATAGCTCAAAGACTCAACAATAGCCGAGAGCACTTTCTTATTACACTTTTTTTCCATATAGATCTTGAACTTTCTGCTTTTATTGATATTGGATTTAGGGAGGAAACATTATGTCATGTGAAGGCCTGCTCCAGTCTCCAAGAAAGGCCTAGTGAAAATTTCCTCGGACAAGAGCAACAGTGAAGGCTCAAAAGTCAAATATTTTTACATGATTGACAACCTCTAAGAAAATTCCCAAGGAAAAGTAAGATCTAGCAAAACTTCTAATATATACATTTTGAAGACAATGTTTCACTACTTAAAAAAGAAAACAATTTTCTGGTGTCATTTCATATGCGCACACTAATTTTTTTCTTCCATGATGACACATATGAAGGTTAACTTAAGTTCCAAGAAACAATTATCTAAAATTTTAAAAGCTCTTGATACAATACAAAAATAAAGAAAGATACATTCTTATATAGACTCTCAGAAATACTCTTCCAAAGAATAAGGGTAAGAATGTTTTCCATCTAGCACATTCTTAAATTTCTAATAATAAAAAAGTATTTGCAATCCAATTATTTCAGTGTTTTTTTTTCTTTCATTAAGAAAGCATCCCATGCAGTGTTTTATTTAAACAGTTTATACTTTTCTTTTCAAGATCTGCATTTTCACTTCTACCGTATACTGTCACAAACTGAACAAATTCATCCAAACTACAATTAAAGAGTGTGCATGCAGTTAGCTACAAATGATGAGCTCAATAAGATGCGCAACCTTTCCCTCATAAACTGAATTAAAAGGTGCTTCTGAGTAACGTGACTCTTATGTGGCCACTTTAAAACAAGATGCCTTTATCTACCAAAGCAGATTTTTTTTGGAGTGGGGGTGGGGGTGTGGTGTAATAGACTGTTTGGATCACTGGTTATTAAAATAAATAAATAAGTAAACTGTCCAAACACTCTCCAAATTTAAAGGAGAGAACTGCTGCAAGAGCTAAACACAGTCTTCTTCAATTCTTTCCTGAACACGAAATAAAATATAA